ACATTTTGTCAACTGCAGAGTAATACTTACTTTGAAACAATTTTAGTGTCTTTTTTGTGTAAAGAAGCAGGAAAAAGTTAGCATATAGTCATACAAAAAGCCTGTATAAGTCATGCTGAAAATAAAATACATGGGTTATTGGTCTGTAGCAGGTTCTTAAGCTTGAGATTCTTCTACCTCAGGTTTTGTCACTATCAAATAGGAAAATATATTTTAAGACCTGTATTAACTGTGTTTTTCTCATTACTTACATACAAAATTGCTAAAAGAAAAAAATAAGTTTTCAACATAAATAAGAATCTGGCATGTTATAAAATTATTTTCCATATTTAATCTTTGATTGCCAATTCACTGGTTTTGTTGTCTGCATCACTGTCATTTTAGCAGCTTTAGCATTTCCTGTCCTTTGTCTTTATCTGTAGAGCTCTAATGTTTCTGTTGTACTTTTCATTTTAACTAAATTAATTTTTTTCAGTTTAACTAGTGATAGGTTTCAGAAAAAATTAAAACTGTTTGACTGAATTAAATATTTAAGATTTACTGTTGCTTGAGGACTACATATAATAGAAAAGTGTACATTCATTTTTTTTTTAAGGAGGAAAGAAGTCAAAGCACATAAGAAAAGAAGCACAGCTGTACCAAACTCTAAAGAGCCAAAAATTAAGAAGACAAAATTATCTTGTTCAGCAAAAAAGAAGTCCAAAAAAAAGACCCATAAAGGTAAATTTAAATTTTAGACCTTCACTTTATAAAATATTCAGATATGTTAGTTGAATATTAGTTTTTGTATAGCTATGTATGTATAGATATAGATATATAATTATGTATAAATATAGATATGTAACATTCTTGACTGTGTAACACAGGTAGTCAAAAAGATAAATTTCTTAGGTAAAATTTCCTAGGTGCACAAAAAAGACAAATTTCTTATAGTTTATGGAGGGAGAGCCATTTGAAAAATACGCATTGCAAAGGAAATTTATCCAGGAATTGGACACTGCATGCCAGAAAAGCTTGTGAAGTATTTAATTCCTAGAGGCTTTGTGGTTTAAAGCTTTTTGGAAATGTTAGATAACCTTTTTACACCACAGATCTTGGGATAGCGTATTTGAGCTCAAACTGATGACCTTTGAACTCATGCAAAAAAATTCTTTTTACTTCACTGTTTGCTTGCTTTCTTTGAATGTATGGTGTGTGTGTACATGTGCACATGCATATGTGTAATTTATTGTGATAGAAATACTGTGTAAACAATTTAAGGTAATGGATAAAACCAAGATAAGCTTACTAATGTTTAAATGGTGTTTATTTCCAGATCAGGTTTCTTCAGAAGATTCAGATAATTCTGATAAAGGTAAAGTATTTTAATATCCTCTGCATTTTATGTTTTTGTAATAAATTGTATTATTTTGTGGTCATTTGTCATTGGTCTTAGTTTTATTTGCTGGCAGTTTTAATATTATATAAGATGATAAGAATGCTGTATGAAAAAAAAACAGAGATATGAAGGGTCAAAATAATTACTTAAAAATACTTGGAGAAAAACTGTAAGGAATTTTAAGAAGGAAATATTTTAAATGTAACTAAAGAATAAAAATGTGGGCAGATAACAAAATGGAAATAATCAGAAAAATGAGAGGTCAGGTTGTTCCAGGAAAGAGTAGAGGATACAAAAATAGGTACATTGTTAATAATTGCATGGGTCCAGGTAGGCACATATGTGCTGTGTACTGCGTGCAGTGTAAAGAAAGTATTTTTCTGATATAATAACCACTACCTTTCCCTTCAGGGAATGATACTAATGCGTACTCTACTCAAAAATCAATAGATTTTAAAACAAATCCTAGTCTTTTCCAGCTGCTACCTGTAGTACCTCAGAGACCTGCTTGTTGTGGGTGGATGCTCTCAGTGACCCCTTCGGCAGTGGTTGTCTCTGTATCTCAGTAATTCCAGTCCCCAGATTCTTTTTTGATGGAACAAGCCCTATCTCCTGGTCATGCCAATTCTTGCTGCAGACTGTCTAGAAGGGATTGAGTGTTTGTACTGATTGCTTTGTTGTGCTGTACGTTTTTAGGAATATCCTCAGCACCTCGGTTTTCCCAGCGAGATACAGGGAGACCTGAATCAGTTTTATTATGACTTGGACCATGCCCAAAGTCTCTGCTTTGTCAGGAAAGCTCTATTGGAAGATTGGAGTATTTTTAGATCTGGACATCTCGTTCTGATAACAAAGTTTTTGTTTTGTTTTGTTTTAGTTTTCACTGCTCCCGTATACTTACATGGAACAGTTACGTGCAGTAATCCATGTTTTCTGACAATGTCACTGATAAGTCACAATTGATAAATTTGTCATTCAAGTATAAATAAAGTAATTGATTCATTTAATATAATGAGTTGAAGCTGTAATGTAATCCTGGGTTTGTTATTACAATAAACCCTTAATGTTGGGAACAAAGTGCTACGCTGCTATTGTATCAAGATCAGTGTTTTGACATGATTGCTTTTATGTTTGGCCAAAATACTAGTTCGTGATGTCTAAGAGACCTTTTGATGCTGTATTGAACAACATTGGAAAATATTTTCATTTTATGCACAGTAAAGTGTTCTTTTTAGTCTCATGGTTACAATTAAATGTTGCCCCTATCCATGTACCATCTAAATAATAAAAAAAAAGATAAATTCTTTTAAAATTTATTTCATAAACTCTTTACATTTTTTAACAGATTCAGATAACAGCAATGCACAAGATGGTCCTTCAGATGCTGACTTTTGGAAAGGTCCTCTAGAAGAAGCAGATGAAAAATCACGGTTAGTTTGGTCTAGTGAACTTGTAGCTAGTAAAACAGTGTTCATTCAGAAAAGCAGGGATTTTTCCTGAGTGTTTTAATGAATATTCTGACATTCAAAATTATGTCAAAGATCCTTCCACGTAGTGAACCTAAGAATGTGTTTTTAAAGAGGGGACATATGCAGTATCAAAGGAGAACCTTTGTCAAGGTTCAAAGGAACCTCTGCTACTGCTGTGTTATCCCCTACACTACTGTTAACTATCTTAGAAGTAGATCCTAACAGACAACTCACTGCTTTTGCACAGGTGGGGTTATGTGAAGGGTATTGGAATGTGGTGAATAGGTCAAAATTATCTATACCAGCTAAAAATTCTAATCAGAAGTCTGCTAAATCTTTTTCATACAAAGATTATCTTCCAGGTAGAGAACCAAAGCAGAACTTTCTTTGATTTTTTTTTTTTTCTTTTTACAGGGAGGAGGAGTTTGATGAGTATTTTCAAGACTTGTTTCTCTGAAACTTGAAATGGCTGTAGGCTGATTTTCTTCATGAATTGTCAAGATGAAAGTCTGGAAATCCAGTCATAATTAGGGACCAGAGACCTCTTTCTGCCATCATATCTTTTATGCAGTCTCACATGGACCATTTGGGTAGAGTATCTTTGTAGAAGGCTTCAGGTCTAAAACCTTTATTTTTCTTGTGGTAGACTGTACAGTCAAGAAATAAGAGAAATAATTTTTTCAGTTCAGTGCAAAAGATACATGGCACCAAACGTAAAGTAGGAAGGATGTAAACAAACAAAAATGTAGTTTATTGACATTATGTCACAGAAGTTATCTGCTTTTTATTTTGTCCCAAACTTCAGTTATTGCCAGATTTTTGTAAAGGGGCATTTTGGAAGATTCTGTTATTAAATCCATCCACTTTAATGTATTCATGTTTCTAATTTATTAAACATGGGTTAATAGCCTTAAATTTATTGGTCATGTACACTTTAATATTCAGATACTCTGTAAGTATTTTCAAATGCTATTGCAGAAGTTAAATTTTTATCAAATATATATTTTGCTTGAATTAAGTAAACCATATCTGAAATGTCTTCTCTACTCCTTGTTTTAAATTTTAGTTATGATATGATGTGACTGATAATTCCACTTACAAAAATCTGGTTGGTTGGTGAAATTTTTTATGTAAAAAAAAAAGGAATGTGGCTTTCTACTGGAGATGTACATGTGACTTGTATGTTATCTATGGTTTTTGATCTCCCTAATATTGAATGTTAATCCTTCTTTAAAGTGTAACCCTAATATATATTCCTTGAGAAACTTAATGGATTAATTTTCCTCTTCAAATTGCAACACAGCTTTAAACATTCTTCATTTTATGTTTCCAAAGAAACAGTCTGCACAGGAATAGCTACAGTGGCTATTTTGTTGGTTGAAAATTACTTTGGATATAAAGAACAAACTTTTTTCTAATTAAATGTTCATGTTAATCTAAGGAAAGTTAATGTTGTATAAAATATATTTTTGAGAAGTATTTCCCACTGTAGATATATTTATAGAAAGTATTTATAATAAGTATTTGATGTGGAAAATACAACAACAGAGATGGTTGCAGTGTATTTATGAACATTTTACATGCACTCTTGAATAAGTTGAGAACTCTATTTACTTACCATAATTACATTTTAAACAGTTTGTACTTACATAATAGGTGATAGTACCAGGACATATTTAGGGTGTCCTTGAGTAAGAAATAAACATAGCCTTGCATGAAGGCTTCTTTAGGTAAGAAGGTGGATTTAAAGGTTAATTCTCTGGCATCTTGCAAGCTTGGTTGAGAGTCAAATCCAATCTGCACCAATCTGCTTACATGTATGCAACTTGCCCAAAGGGGTTTTGTCAAATGTGTTGCTATATTTGTTGCTTCAAGTATCGTGTATTACATGTTCTGGATAACTAACTCCTCTTTGGGGCTTCGAAAGACAGTTATAAAATGGTACAGCATACATATTAACTACATCATTTAGTACAGTTTGAATAAAATTACATGATTAAACAACCTTGAACTAGCTTTCTGTAGTATCTGCATTTAATACAGGAAATAATACATGATACCCAGTTTTATGTCATAACTAAGTTTGCATAAAATATTTGGCCTGTTTATAAATAAGGATGTAATAAGTGTTGGGTTTTGTTTTTTTTTTTCTGGATTCCTGTAATCTTGAGTGATAGTTGTACACAGTATCTGTGTTCATAGAGCATTCTTAGAAAGCTATATAATATGGCAAATCTTTCAATCATTCTCCCTTCTCTGGATGTTGAGGGCCCTTCAAAGAAGAAAAGAATGGAATGGATCTGCTTTCTTTCAAGGTGGAAGAAAAGTGGCAGGATTGAGTCTGCATGTCAAACTTGTTTGTTGCAGGAATTGCATTTGATATCCATCTCTTAAATTTGGAACTGGTTCCAGTGAACACTCAGATCCGTGCATAATATACTAGCCGTTTTCCTTCCATCATCTGCCAGCTTCGTGAGACCTGAGTAGAAGGTATGGAGTGGATTCTGTCATTCTTCAAGAACAGAAGGTTTTGGTAGGGAGTTTGTTGTTTATGAAGAGATAATTTGTGTGCAGTCTGTCTTCTTGGTTGTAGAAGAGGAGGTAGTGTGAATTCTGATGTGCTCTACTTCTGCTGTCCTCTGCCCCCTAGATTAAATTGGTGCCATTTCATTGGTTTTCAGATAGTTTCATTAACTGCATTTTTAAAAAGATGCCTTTGGGAGTACACGAGCCTTTTAAAATGCCTTTGAATATAGATCCTTCTGTAGATATACTGGTATAGATATCTTAGTAACTTTTATTTGTATGCAAAGTATGATGTTTATGGTCTGCCTTTTTAGATTTTTACAATAAACCGTGGTCAGTTTAGGAACTGTGGGCAGAGCCATTTGCACATGGGTAAAAGAGTGTTTTTTTCAGACCTGTGGCTACAATTTGCAGATTTATCCTTGGTGGTTTTGAAAAAATACCATGTACCATCGGCCTGCTTTTTATAGATATGACAGAGATGCTTACTGCAGAACTTTATATAGTATTGAGAATGAAGGAAAAGGATAATTCCAGATTAAGGTAATGTGCATAATATTAAAATCTAAATATACAAGTTATGAAAATCACAATTTTTTGTTTGAATTGTACATGTTTGACATCATTCAGCAATTTCATATAAGATCTGTCAAAATTATTTAATTTTTTTCTGGACAGTGTGCAGAAGTTACATATTTTAATAAAAATACTGTATATAAATTGAGTGACATGAAAAAATATCTAGAGCACACAGTTAACTCGTTTTACACCATTATTTTTTCTTTTAATTTTCCAGTTTTTAATTATAACTGTTTGTTTACTCCCATTAAAAATATTTCCAACAAATGGCAAGTGTTTCTGAGGATTGTTAAGAGATCAATCTGTACTATTCTGTGAACTCCACTGGGGCTCATTGGAGTTCTTTCTAGGTGTCTTTTCTGTAGCAGAAACAGTGTCTGAGACAAAGAATTACAGAATTATACATGTTTTGGATTTCCCATCCTCTCCACTTCCACCACCACCTCCAGCTGCATTTTCAGCTAAAAAACAGAGAAGGAAAGTAAAGTGAGTATTTTCTGTTAATTTTAGCTAGTCTAATTTCTTGTTTAAAAGGCGTTCCTTTTGTGATATGCATATTATATGTGTTTGACCTTCTGAAAATTGAACGTGCTTTCACTACTTGTCTGGGAAAATGGAATAAGAAACAATAACACGTGCTGTATATACATATGTGTATTTAGTGTAGCAGTTGATACCAACATTTCTCAAAGGACCAAACACACACTGAACCACTCTTACTGGAAAGTTTCAGTAGTTAAATATATATCTCTTCCCACACATACAAAACTGAGGTATGCAAGCCATGCAAAAGATATAAAGTCATGGATCAGTATAATCTCTGAATCTATTCTTGAAACAGATGATACAAAAACTTTAATTTGACCTAATTGTATAAGCCTTTGTCCAACCCTGCATTAATCCCTTTGTAATTACTAGTTAAGAGAGACACTTTCTATGTTTGTTATCTATAGCTACTGATTTTGTTACTGTCTCTCTCAAATGATTCCACAGATGTTCACTGGTCAAAGTTAAGATTCTTTCAATGTAATAAATTGCATTTCCAGGTTCATTTAAGGTAAGATACCAATATTAGAATTAAAACTTACATTTGAAAGCTGTGGATCACCATGTTACTAGGTCATTTTCGACCCTTTCCACCTGCATTGAAACATGTCACATAATCAGTGTCCTACCCTCTAATTTGAGGATATAATCAACACTATGCTACTAACTATGTATTTTATTTTCTTAGTTTAATACTGGATTTTTAGTTTCTGTTCTGAACTTTCCACTGTAGTGGTTCAGCAAATATGTTTATTTTGTTTTCTGTCTACTAAATGGCTAAGAATAGGCAGGTCAGTGTGATCTAGAGAAACCACCATGGTTCAGCATGTATCACATTATTGTTTGTATGAACTAACTTGACAAACCCATATATTTACATGGCCTTGATTTGATAGTGTCATATCTGCTCTTCACAAATGTGTGTGGCCTCATTCCAGTGCACATTTAAAAAGATGGAAAATAATTCACTTACATTTTGTGACACCAGTTATGACATGCACAGGTCAGATCCTTAGCTCCTGCAAGTCAGTCCATGCTTGCCTAGGTAAGGTTCCTCGTGGGAAAATACTTCTTTCCTTAAGTCAGTGACTAAGTGATTCCAAAATACCAATGATGTAAGATGGTCCTAACTTCAAGTGGGAGTAGAATTACCTGAGTCTTCTTAAATGTATAATTTAATTTTTATTTAAGAACCTTATGATTAAGGACATAGGATCAGACTTTATACTCTTTGCCAAGAAAGCAAATGTATGTGGAAGTTTGTTTGTAGGTCACAGGTTTGATTTGTTTTGTTTTACTGGTATTTCTGTGAAGCTCAGGTGCTTATGTTCCAGTGTAAGGAAAGAGTGCTTTGTTTATAGTCACAACCAGTTAGTTCTCAGCAATAAATTAATCTTAAATAAATGATATGATTAGTTGCAGAAAAGTATCTTTAAAAATAAATTTGGGAGACAACAGGGTGGGCACAATTTCTGTGAAAGTGTGTGTAAGTGGTACCACAGTGTGAGCAGGCCAAAATATTGTAATTTTATTACAATAATAATATTTGACTCATTTTATTAAACTTCTCTTTCAAAAATCTGCTTTGATTAAATCATGTATTTTACAGTCCTTTTTTAACCTCTTTGCAACAACAGGGTTTTTTAATTTTAGCCTAATACAATTTATTTTAGGAGCCAGTAACTCTCTAGTTTCACTTCACACTCTGACAGTAACTTGATGGGTGGCCTTGAGTAGCCTCTCTTTTGTGTGAAATGTGAAGAATACTCACCTATTTACCACAGACATGCACCTCTATGATAACATATTTAAGAAGGGGACCTGGGAGGAGGAGTTGGAGCTACGAGGAGGAGTTGCAGCATCTACGTGAACACTGAGGTTAGTGGAAGAACAGAGGAGGAAAGCAGGGGGGAGGTGTGCCAGAGCAGAGACCCCCTGTATCCTGTGGTGGGACAGCAGGGCCAGCACCCTGCCACCCATGGAGCTCCATGGTGGAGCAGATGCTGACATATGGTCTGTGGGGGGGCCTCATGCCATATCAGGTGATGGTGCCTGAAGGAATCCAGGACCCTATGGGGAGAAGCACCCCCCGCTGTTGTAGTTCAGCTCTGGGAAGATTGCAACATGCAGGGATGTCCCACTCCCGAGCAGCATGGGAATGGCTGCAGCCTGTGGGAGGGACTTGAGTCAGAGAAAGTTGGTGTCCCATGCTGGAGCAGTGAGGGAAACGCTGCAGCCCCTGCAAGAGACTAAAGTTGGGGAAAAATTGCGGAGGACTGTCTCCTGTAAGAGAGGGTCCATGCTGGAGTAAGGGGAGAATGCCAGAAGTTCTGCCCCCTCTGAGATGTAAGAACCGGCAGCACTGACTGCACCCCCCCGTTACCTGTCCTCTGCCCTGCTGAAGGGGAGGAGGCAGAAATAGCGAGAGTAAAGCTGAGCCCAGGAATAAGAAGGGAGGGGTGGGAGGAGGTGTTTTCAAGATGTGATAATGCTTCTCACTGTTCTACTCTGTTAAGTGTTGTTGTTAGTGTTTGTATTAAATTTATGTTCTTTTTTCCTTCCCCTAACAAGTCTGTCTTTTGCCTATGACCATAATGGGTGATTAATCCCTCCCTGTCCTTATTTCAATTCCTGAGCTGTTGTTGGCTATATTTTCTCCTTCTCAGTGCTGGGGGCAAAGGGGGAGTGAGTGGCTGCATGGTGCTCAGTTGCCCTATGAGCTCAAACCACAACAACTATCCATTCCCATCTCTTTTCCTTACACTTTTCATTTTCAACTTAAACAAAGCACCTGAATACACATGGGACAGATGCCACACAGAATTTTGATACATCTGTAGTGTTTCAGGTGATTGCAGCTTTCACAGATAAGTAAGTATTTAATTAACTGTCAGTTTTAGTCTTAAGACAGTTTTACATTCCCTTCTCTTCTGCGATAGTTGTATTTTCTATAACTCCGCAGGTTATAAAGTGAGGTCAGTGTACTGGATTTATGTAATCTTTAAGGTTACTCCTCTTCCCCGTAAAGATAAAGCTAATTTGGCTAATTCAGGACTCACATACCATTAGTATATGGTTTAATAGAATATTGCACAAGTGCACTGCATGTGTGAATTTGAGAGAGAATGAGTATGTTGACTGCCTTACAAATATATATAAATGAAAACCTTAGAAGTTACTTAACCTTTTTTGGCAGCTGCTGCTTCTTCCTTTTTCTTTTGTTCCTCAATGACTTTTATCTTCTCTTCATATTCATCAGCTCGTGTTTTCCATTCAACCCTGTTGTTTTTAAGACCATCAAACATAGGTGTAATTTCCTTGTGAAACCTTGAGAATTCCTATACAAACAATTTGAATTAATAAATTAGAAATTTGTAAACACCAATGATTTGTAAAGTCTGAATTTGTGGAAATACTGCTGTTTTGCAGAGGAAACATTAACTTTCATTTTTTTATTAAATCTAATTCAGTGTGTTTGCTATATCAATTAATTTTACTTGATTTCACACTTTTTTCAAATACTTGTTCCATCTCTGGTAGTGGATTCTCTGTAGAAGAGAAAAAATTTTAAAAGAAAAACTGTGAGTACCTGCTGGTGCATGTTTGAAAGCATGTTCTTGGCCACGCAGTGGTGGCATATTGTTGGAAATAACATGTTGGGATACTAATGCCCTATTGTGCATGTAGTCAGCTAAAAAAGATCTGAATTTTAGTATCTTCCCTAATCTCACATGTGATAGTATGATTCATATAATACAATTATAACTATGATACTTGATATCATATCATTACCAATATCAGGATATAATTGTGGTGGTACAACTCCCCTCCTATCTTGGGCTACTCGGTGCTTGGTGCAATTTCCCCTGCTCTGTGCCACATGCCAGCCCAAGATGAATTAGGAGAGGTAGTGAACCACAGCATTAAGGCACTCCCTTAGCACACCTGGTTCCTGCCTCCTCCCCTACCATTTAAGAACAGTAATAACAAAGGCAGTGGACCCTTAGCACAGCTGGCTCCTGCCTCCCCTGCTGCTTGGGAACAGTAATAACCATCAGTCTCCTGACAGCCTAGTAGTACATCTGTACCTGGGTTGTGGCCCAAAGGGGATGATACCAGAACTCCAAGATCTAGCAAGTTCTGAGCCTGCGCATCTGATAAAGTACCAGAATATTCCATCATCTGAGTTGGGCTGAAATGAAAAAGTACCTGACAAAAGTCAGTTATCTTGGACACTATAAATAGCGATTCTAAGTGAGACTCTTTGAGCTCTCCTGGATTGCAGCGGGCTGTGACCAGCATCTCCCCTGAGTTGGGACGTTTCTCAGGCACAGACTCCTCAAGGTTTGTAGATTGTCTTCCCACAAAACCAACAAAAGGCCAGGGTGAAGCCAGACCTCTCGAGGCTCAATTCTCACCCGATGAGGAATACTGATGCATTGTATTTGCTCCAAACTTGAGAAGAGGGCAATTTTAACTACAGACTAGCCTCTCCCATGCACTTCTTTACCTATCTATGTGCTTGAATACGCATGCCTGCCTTCAAGATGTGGATGTCTATATATTTTACTAGATATCCAAATATTTCCATGCTGTTTGTGTGTGTGTGTGTATGTTTTGTGTTTATACGTATACTTTGATTTAGAATACTTTGTACTAAGTTAGTGTGAACCTTGTCATTCTCAAATCTGTAATTGTCTCTATTTTAATCATATTTTACCAAACCACCTTGTTATGTTTTAAATCAATCAGTCATTAAGTGCTGCTTAAATCCAACCTTTGATCTACCTTACACCACTAATAAATCTTAAATTGCTATTAAATTATAGCTATGTCAAGTGTTTTCATCTGCTACAATAATAAAGAAGTCTAGTATCCTGTAGTATATTCCAAGCAGATGAGTATGTATCTGAAGATGTTAAAATATTACATGTTACTCTTCTGCATGACATTTTTGAATAGTATTAAAAGCTAGACAGGGATTAATGATGTTGGCATTTCACTGCCTTACAGAAGATATAGAATATATTTCCAGAATATTTCAAGTTTCCTATTCCTTTTGCTGTGCCATTAACTGCTTTCTGTAACCATCCACATGTTGAATACTTTTATTAAATGGGACTGTGAAGAATCAGACTGAGCTTTCTAACTCAGTCTTTCAAATTAGTAACAAAACCTCAGCACCTTCAAGTTTCACCAAGATTCTACCTTTTTTTCAATTTGCTTCTCATCTCTTGAATTTGCTTTGTGGAGCAATTCTTCTATGTAACAAAAGATTAGAAAAGTCATGGCAATTGTGATAATTGTCCACCCTGTGACCGAGAGTCCTGCTGCTGTCTAGAATCTCTTAGCTGCAACAGTTTGTCACTAATTGTGCTATCAGAACTGCTGCAGCAGGAAAACAAAAAAAAAAGTTATGCTTACCTTGTACACAAATGTACACACAAAATCTATAAAACCAACTTGGAGCTTAGGTAGTTCATCTCCTTTACTTCTGTCCATCATAGGCTAGAAAATAATAGCAGTAATGTAGATTATGTATATATCATGCTTTTTGGTATAATGATCTAGTAAGCATCATGGACCATTATCTATTCGATGTTTTAATACTAGCTAATATTGCTTAATATGGCTAAATTTTTTAGTACTTACAATTGGTTGTTGCTGTAGCACAGTTCGTTCCAGGTCACCTTGCTCCCAGAATTCATTTGCAACCATGAGGGCAACCTGAATAATCACAATTCCATGGAAGTGCCAGCAGAAAGCAGTAAATATAAATAAATAAAAGAACAAGGCTTTCCAAAAAATGTAAAAATGTTGATTAACCAAGAATTGGCATGTTACTGTTTACTACTTAACTATGATTACTAACTTTCCTTCCACAAAGAGAGGACTTATTTCTTGCTGGTGTTACCTCTGAGTAGTTTAAAAAGTTCTCCAGAAATAGGGAGTTTTGGTCAAACACAGGAGAATTCCACTCTTTAATCCCTGTAGAAATAGTCAAGTGGTTCTTTCAAAAATTAGACACTCTCTGGTATACTTAAGGCTTTATCCAGAAATTAGATTCTGGTGTATACTGAGTAAATGATAGATTATTGTCAACAGGGACAAGAAAATATTAGCAACATAACAATCTTCCAGTACCTGTAATGTGTATTACTTAGAAGGCTTCTCAATCATCTTGCAATTGTGTTTTAATTATGCATTGTTAAAACCTATTGCTGTAAGGCTAAGTGATGAGCTTCAGCATGATGGTCAATAAATACTGGAGTACTTGAAGTACTTCAGTACAAAGCAGGTCACACTGTATTACGGAATTTATTTTTAGCATGTTTAAGCTACTTTGCAATGGCACCAAGATCTGCAGAATAGACACAATTCAAATCATACTGTTAAATCTGTACCTTAAAAATTGCTGAAAACTAGCAAAAGTTGAATAGCACAAAAATAACTAAGTGATATTTAAGGGTAGCTAGAATAGCTGACAGAATCAAGGATGCCAGTTTTAGCTGAAGGACAAGTAGAGAAGCATGGAACAGCTGTAGAGTGGCTGGGTAGAGGCATCATGGCACCTCACAGTGACAGAAAAATAGAGGCTTTCTGGAACCTGTGGTGGGATGCAGATACTTAAATATCTACCAACTAGTAAGTCATGTTTTTAAAATGATCATGCATCAAATAGGCAGTAAAACAGATAGCAAATCCAGTATTGTCTGTTCAAAAGGTACCTACCTTACTTTGTACTTCCCAAGGCTTGGTTATTGCAGACAAGTCACATCCAGTCATCATCATAGCCCTTTGAAAAAACAAATCCGAACAGGAGTATAGTTAGGATGATGATAGGAAAAAAAAAAAAAAAAAGTAAGTCTAGTTGTTTTAAGGAATTTAGATACCTAAGATGCAGATGGATGCACATTTTGTACATTTTGAGAAGATTGTGAACATCTGTTTCTGATTTAAAATCATGGTTATGCTCATCATTGGACAGTAACACAAAGTCTCAATTTACATGTTTAGGTGCCCAAATTCTTTTAAAATCTGGTCCTAGATAACTGATTGAGTAAAATATTAACCACCTACATGATGACTTCCTTTTTGGTTGGGTCAATAGATACGTATTTAATTGCCTCCTCTTCAGATTCCATTTTTTCAATTGCATCCACAATCTTTTGAAACATAGTTCTTTTCCTGTTAAAGCATACCAATAAACAATATATTAGTGAACAAAAGTTTCTGCATTAAAAATGGAATAGAAACCCATATTTCTGACATTTATTTTTGTCCAAAGTATCATCCTAGTCCTAGTAGTATCAAAGTGACACCTTCTTCCTGTTGAACTCAAACTTTTCAGGTAACCTAACACATTTAGGTTTTGCTGTATACAACTGACATGTAAGAATTCCTGGCAAAGAAACAACCAATTTCCTAATTCTTCATATTGAACTGTTTGGGATGACATTTCTTTAGTATCACATGTTTATTATGTCCTGTAACATAATGAATTGAGAAAAGTGAAGCAAATGCTAATAAATGTTCTTCTACTCCCTCCCCTCAAAAATTCAAAGCAGCACTAAGACCTGACTGAGAAGAACTTTCAAAACATAAGTGTCTTGCTATTGCTTAATAAATCTTCTAATTTGCATTTAGAATGAATGAAATCATAAATTACTCTTCACTAAAATTTAATAATTGTTGAACAACTTACTGAATTGTTTCCTGTCTTCTGACTTTAAGTTGTCCTAGTCATAAAGGCTCCATATATCTTGAGTAAGGAAGCTACCCATTATAAAAGTACATTAAGTCAGTAATTTAGGAACTGGATGGATGATTTGATACTTGGAGTCTTTGGCATATTTAGCACTGTAAACAGTTGATGTCTGCAGTTTTGTTTTTAAACTAGCATGTTAATTTCCATGTCATAGGCATACTTCTGTTTAGTATAAGTAATTGTAGTATGGTACACTAAATATCACACGTGCACACAACCTTATGATTAGTCTAAAGAATCCACACTCCTGAAATACAGTGTTTGATGTAACTAAAAGCATATTCGAATGACCTAACAAATGCATACTAAGTATTATATACATTTATGTGTTCTCTAATTTTAAAGCTTATAATGAATCTAAGAATGTCTTGGTTTTTCACAAGAATTAGACAATATAAATTTTAAATATAGCTCTGTACTGTGTATATAAACATCTCTGTACTTGCATATAAACAACTAAAAACTACTTACAAATTCTATAGGATTGACATTTTTTTCAGTAGGAAGTTGTACAGAATTTAGTACTTACTTGAAATACAATGCCAAGTCAGTTGCTATTATTGCAACTTCAAATAAATGCAGAACGGTTTCAAACTGATGCTTATTTAGGTTCTGGAAGATGTTTAAACTCTGCAAGATGGAAAGTTTACAAATTCAGTTCCTTTTATAACACTGTCTTTGGTTTGTACTATACACGTCTCACAGAATGTGTGACAAAATTGGCCAACTACAGTCCCTAAATTAAAAAAATGCGACAAATTAAAAATTGTTCAGTTGGTGAAGATGTCTCTTACTTGTGGCTAAATAACTGTGTGAATGGTAGGTGGATCTAAGATGCTGCCCCCAGAGGCTGTACAAGTAACTAAGTCCACAGCAACTGAAACAGTTGGATGTTCTGTTACTGCTTTATATAAATTAAAAACAAAGAAAACCACCTGTATTCCATGTAATCAGTAAAGAAATGGCAGTTCTTCATTATTTCTTTACAGTTCGCATTTCACAAACCTAACTTTCCTAGACTTTTTAAAGTTTCGCAGTTAGAGAACTTTTCCTTCTATTAACCTGGGTCAGCACAATTGCCTGCTGCGCTATTATGGATTTACCATAGTAAGTGCAATGTCCTTTTCCTCAGGCAAAGGGAATGAGAGCATCACACTCAGCATTTTTCTAAGTGTCCTGGTTTTCCTTCCTTCTTTAACTGAGGGGACAATACCTGTGAGAGCATGGGGTGCAGCGATGCTGCTGAGAGCCTCCAGAGGTCCTGACAACTGCCCCAGCAAAGATCAGGGGTTAGTCCCCACCATCTCACATTTGAAAAAGTACATTGCCATCAATGAAGGTAAATGTGTTTTGGTTTGTCTGAATCATAAATCTTCTAGGTTTTTCATGATTATTGTGCTATTGGCTGGTATATGGATTTATTCAGTGATCTCACAAGGTCAGGAAATAGCACCGCCACAGGGATTAGAAAATTAAAAATTAGGGTGGAAGGTGGTGCCTGCCACACTGCTGCAAACAAGCAGGATGGAAGCAGCACGTGTGTTCAAGCCTTGCCTGTTAAATCTCTAATTTGCTTGCAAAATATGTAGTAAAGTGTTCTAAATAGTCTCCTCTCTTGGGGCCAGGCCAGAGCCAGGCACCTCTGAGGGAAGGATGGCTGATCCCCACTGGAGCAGCAGGACTCCATGGGGCACAGGGCCCTGGCAGGCTGCACTGCCACCATTTTGCTGAGCCTGAGAAGACTGTGGCGGGGAGCCTCACCTCTGCGACTGCTGGGGAACGGCAGCTGAGGGCATCTGCCTAATTCAAGGAAGACCAGTAATGGGAACTGCAGCAGACCCTCATGGTACAGTCTTCTCTGTTTTAACAAGGTAAGATGTAGGAGGGTCTGGCCTGGGGATAAAGGGGTCCTCCATAAACAACTCCATCCCTTTGTTCCTCAGCTGCCAGTCAGCAGCTGAACTCAGGCCTCATGAACAAGGAGCAGCGATTTAATTACAACATTTTGTATGTATGTATTGTATTTTCTGCTTTGGTTTCAACATCAGCTTTTGGTTTCAACATGAAAGTAGAAAAAACCTGAGTGTGAGTAAGGCCCAGTGGAAAAGCTTTTCTATCTTAAGTGAGTCTGTTTCTGTTGGAATTACTGATGTGTTTCTAAAAGTGGACAACGCATAAGAATTCGCCATAAACTTCTGAATTTTAGCATACTTTCTTAATCTGGACGTAGAAGAATGAATAAGATGCAGTGAAATTTGGAACATCATAACTTAACTGGATCTTTTCTATTGATCAGTGTGAGCACAAAGTTCATGAAGACATACCTCATCTTGCAGTAACGTTTTACTGTACTCTAGATGATGCCTTTCTAAAATGGAAGAGCCGTGAAGTTTTGCCAGTGGAGCAGCTGACCTGTTGAAAAAGAAGCAGTATTTTGGAGGCTATATTTTTTTATTCAGGATTCAGATTTTTAGGATTAAAATGCTTCTGACCTGCATGTTCAATAGTTTAATCTGTATATTTTAATCATTGGTATAATGCAGAGGAAAAAAAAACCCAAACTTGCCTGCCTTCACTCTTGTGACTGAGTGATGATGGAATTTGGAGAGCACTGGATATACAGTGCCCAATGAAGTCAAAGGCATGGTTAGATGCCTCAAAACTCAAAAACTGTGCTTATTACTTGCACATTCAGTTTTGATGTTTGTTTAATCTATTCACCTTGTATGTACCTTAAAATAGCCTTTATCCATCTCCTAGTATGTATTCCCTGACATGGCTTTTGAATTCTTGTCTGTCTGAAATGACTGTGGGCTATGTCCCCTGTGATTCTAACTTACTGTAAGTTAAATCTAAAGTAGCAGTGTAATGAAGTTTAATTCCTCTAATGCCATTGGGCTTCTCCCCTCCCCTCAAATCACTGTTTTATGGACTATGCAAGTCCTGACATCTCAGGTGTGTTCAGTCTTATCACAGAGCTCAAAGCATCCCTCTGACATTGAGCTAAGCTTCAGGCAGTGGAAATTCTGCGCCAGACTATGATAGTGGGAGGGAGAAGTGTCCTATCTGTGTAGGCTCCAGGTGGTTCTGTATGTTTGGAAGTGTATTTTCCTCCTTTCTTCCCTCAGCTAATAACTCCGTTCTTCAGATAATCCAAGGCAGATTCATACATGTTGCCTGTATTTTCTGACTTGTGATTAGGACTGCTGTGGTAAAGCCTGATAACTGTTATAATTAGCTTTACTGCATAGGACCTTGCATAGAGGGCTTTTAGCTAAGGAAGACCACAGTAGGAGGATTTAAAAACTCCCTTAAGCTTATTTGGATGAGAGGCAGTCTGCTGAAGAAGAATCAGTGTCTGTCATTCTCTCTCTCTTACGTCACATGGAAAATTGCTGAGAATAATCAGAAAATCCCCTTGTGTCACTGCACTAGCATGCAGGCTGAAATGCCTCTCCTGGGAAGAGTGTATCCAGGGTCAGAGGAGGAGGATGAATCATTCTGGAGATAAAGTTGGTGGGAAACTGTACTGAGAAAATTATGGTACACATAACATTTTGAGAAGCCTGTGTCCTCTGACTAGCACATAGAAACAAGCCCTAACATATCACATGAAACACTAAGTGGCAGATTGTTCATTCTTCTGGAGGAGAGTAAGTCTCACCGCAATGTGTAATGTTGTCATAAAAAGGTACGTTTAAAACAAAATTAATTAATATTGTTTTATAACAAGCTTCTACTAATTAATATTGTTTCATAACAAACAAGGGAAAAACCTTTAGAATATTTTCTCAGAACAAAATGGAGCATGAATTGCAAAGCTTAACCTCATGATGTATAACTTAATGGCATGTGGACCCAGCGGCACACAAATTCTTTAGCTCAGAATCCTGTATAACATAAGGAGATGACACCTCAGGAGACGACGTACATCTGAGGAGTGGGGGAACAACTGAGCCAGTCAATTCAGATGGTAGAAAACAGAGAAAAAGAATGCATCTTAGATCTGTCTCCCTCTAAACTGGCCCGTGTCTATGCCACACCCTGAATTCCTCTCCAGAAAAGTGCTTATGCCCTGTCTTGAAAAAAAGCAACTCGGATTTTAATTTACTTTTCTCATTTATTTGTGGCCTCATGTGTCTGAGGCTCTGCTGCAATCCAAGAATTGCTAGAGCTTAGTCTCTCTTAAAAATTAATTGCAGCTCTAGATCATTCTAAGATTCTGCTTTTGCATTTTGTCTTTGTGTTTCAGCTGTCATGACAAATGCTCTGAAGCAGAAATCTTCTGTAGGATGTTTATTCATGCCAGATGAATATGGAATATATACCTTACCTTTTCACAAGTTTTGACATGTTTCTTTCATTTGCCACTAAATATATGACATTTCCATATATTTGAGCATTTGTACTTACTTCATTTGATACAAGTTATTGGTCCCTCTGTGATCAATGTCATGGCAGAAAGCAGCAGCAACCATGGCAAAGGCTTCTAGATCAGTATAGTATTTCTTTATTTTGCCTGTCTTTAAAAGAAAACAGACAATTCTGAGTGTGTGCCTTCTTGAATTTTCCAGTTGGAATTGGAAGGAAAACTAAATAATGAATGTAAAGTTAATATTAGCAACATTACCATCAGCAGAGTAAACATTGTTTGTCCCACATTGAATCCATGCCGCCAGTTATGGTAAGTGATATCTCGATAACCCTTCCTGACTGTGTACATCCATCTTGTAAGGACCTATTATGAACAAAAGTGGTTAAGACTGTGCTGTTAATTGAAACAAAATGATGGAATTCTTACAAAATTACTGCAATACACTATGGAATTACTTTAGTAATGTACAACTTCTATGAAAGCAATTTATTTTCATTGAATTAAACATGGAAACAGCAAGTTGTTCATGTTCAAATGCATGTTGATTTAATTCCTTCTATAGCTCACACAATTTCAGGATTAGTTTTAAGTCTTTATGACAAATATATAAATGTTCAATAAAGAAGATTGTTATCTATACTACTAATATTTTAGTATTGCCTACTTCTATATGAAAGTACCTACAGTCAGGTATTTTTCTTTGATCTTAAAATAAATATAAACAAGACAAAATAAATCAGACCTCAGCTGGGACTTTGAACTTTTCAACAACATTTATCTCAAAGAACAGTCGTATTCCACAAGTTATCAGGCCATGCTCTGTAACGGGAAAGTCACTGAAGCGAAATTCATACAGTTCTAAATCTTTTGGATCAGGTAATTCTTCCTTCTGTGAGGAAAATTCAAAAAGACAAGGATTTTTCTGGCAAGAACAAAGTTGGAAAAACTTTTTTATTTTCTGAGTTCAGTAGAAACACTGGCTAAGGACACTATGTTTACTATATCTTCAAAGGCCTCAGGTTTCAGTACAAACTAATACGTATTATGTTATGAAACACTCAAAGAGGATAGGTGACACCACACGGTGTTTATTCCTACTCTGAATTCCAACATGATCTGTTGTGACCATCTCCACATTTCCTTAGTTCATAAATTTCAGGCCTTGGAATTTCTCCTTCTTGGTATAAAATACTGTGAATCTCGCACTCTTAGCTTGGTCTCAAGGCTGCAGTTCATTTTTTTCATCTTGTTAACTGTTCCTCCCTTTTGGATCTTATGAATAGTGGAGAATATAGTGACCAAAACCAATGTGTCTAGAGCAAAACATTTTTTACTTTCACAGTAGAATAAAGTGTTAACAACAGCATTTTTCTAAATAACAGGAGGCTTGCTTGCATGGCTACCTACCCATAGCCTTGTCTTCTCTTGGAGAGACTATACACAAGCAAAGATTCCTGTACATTTTTTAACCTCTGGAGCACTGGTGGTTTGTTTTTGCTCTGCAACGAACTCTCAAAATTAGTCTGTCTTATCTTGTTTCCTATGACAGTCTCTCTTTGTCTGTGATAGCCTATGTACACCTAATAGACAAACCTGTAAGGTTGATTTGGCACATGGAAAGTGGACTGGAAAATCCTACAAGATCAGATGTAAAAATTCACAAATCTTATTTGTGTTCTTATTTGTCTGCTTGCAGTAGATTCTTAACTGCTTGGCTGTAGAATGATCTCAGTATATGCATTAAGTAAAAATTGTTACAATGCTTAAATGTACAAAGCATCTAATATTCATGGTTATTACAACTTACTTCAAATCCCTTATAGTAATTTACTTTCTAGCGCTGTAGTTGGTGGTGATTCTGCCCTAGTAATTGGCTTGCTGTAGTTTACAACAGTCTGTTATGAACAATCCTGACCACTGATGAAAATAAGGGATCATTCCAAACGTAGTGGACTGTATAAGTACATAATCTTTTCCCTATGTACTAAATTTCATTAGAAGATGTCTGGATGCTATTTGGGGATTTTTCTCTCTCTAAAGGGCAGATACAGAGTTTAGGCCAGCTCTTCCTTATACTGAAGAACCTCCCTAGAACATATACTAAATTCTAGAATGCAGAGGATATGGAAGTTAAGCAGCCTGTATTAAATTTAAGTTGCCTATTTTGTATACATTATATAGATTCACATTAAATAGCCTAACTGGTAATAGTGGTACTAGTGTACTGTTCTGTAACATTTTTCATCTGTATATCCAAAAGCCTAGGGAGAGCGGTATTATATTTTAAAGAATGTGCCCCAATCCAAACAAGAATTAATTCAGGGAAGTCTCATGCAATGCAAAAAATAGATTATGATCACAATGACTCTCTTCCTCCATAGCAGTCTATAAATGATCTCCATTTTACGGATAAGGAAAAAATATGACTGAATATATGCATATATTTCAACAAACAAGGCTGGATGTCCATGCAAAGGTATTTCCTTCTCCCTGGGATTTGCCTTTCTATCTACTCTAATCTAAGGTCAAGGACAAGGTCACCTGGAGCAGTTTTACAACCCATTACTTTGTGAATCATCAGATCTAGAAACAACTGCTTTATCCCATTAGTTATCTGGGATTCCAGGTCTTATAATAGGATAAAGCATTTGCATGTAGCCTTAGCAGTGCAGAACATATTAGACCTCTGAATTTGTGACTCCACAATCTTGAGAGAACTCATTTTAATTGCTTTTTGGAGATTTAAAAATTAATACCAGTAAGATTTTTACATTTGGAGCCTGTACCATAATAATTGCTTGTTGCTCCACCAGTAGAGAGATTTTATAATGTTTATCTATTAATTTTTGCAATTCTTCATGCAGCTAAATTAAATTTACTTTAAAAGTTATGTAAAGGTACACACGGTCTGTTGATGTTTTTTGGTTTCACCACTTGTAAGCTGTGTGAGTCAGTAAAACTTAACACCACTGCATTCTGGCATGCACATGAACATACCTAAAAATAGTTCAATGAGATCTTTTTGCCATGGCTGTATACATTAGCAAATACGGTGTAATAGGAGGAAATATGTGAAGTGATTGGTACTGGAAGTGAACAAATTTGTGTGCATTTGACCTTTTTTCTTCAGCCTAGCTCTGTTTTGATCCATTAACAGTGGGAGTTCATTCAGTGTTTTCCTGGAGCATATCTTTGATTTTTGTTTCAGATAAAGTCAGCCAGTGCATATACTCCAGGTCTGCTCCACAAGAAAAAATGAAGTGCACTAAGTGAGCAGAAACAGGAGTTCTCCTCCAAAAAGTCAACCCCTTTCTAGATTGAAATACTAAGGCAGCCAGAGGACTGCACGGTCTGGAAAAGAAAGTGACTGATTTTTGTTTTAGTAGTAGCAGAGTTTTAACTGATTATGTCAAATCTGTTTCGTCACTGTGAAGTCACTGATCGCTGTCTTTGGACTTCTCTGCCTAAGGAAATGCAGGAAAATTAATCTGAAAGTAGGATAGTTCCACTGGACACTCCTAGTGACCTTACATCAATGTCCCTTTTTTAATTTTCAAAATTCAATAAATTCAGTTATAGGTATAGCACGGTCCCCATGGGTATTTAAAGAAGTTAAACACTTTAAATGTTCATTCATACAAACATTTCTGTGTAACTCTGACTATCCAACTCTGTTGACACATATTTGGGACAGAATGTTTCTCTGTAGGTAACAGTGGGATCTGCATGTAGAAGATCCAAAGAGCTTGAAGATATATTATTAAATCAGCTCCATCTAGCTTGTGGAACTGATAGCTAAAATCAATTGTATTGATCAGGATTTGGCTATACACAACTTCTTCTATAATGAAGACACATTACTATCTGATACAAACATGCCACCAGAATTTTCAGTTTAATGACTTACCAAAATCCTGATAAGATCCTTTTGATCACATTCTTCTATACTATTTACATTTAATTTCTCCTTGTATTTCTAAAAGTGAAAATGAGTAAGAAATTCAGGTTTTGTGTAGCAAACTTCCTGCTTTAATTTTGTGGCTTTAGACAAAAACTTACCAGTATAGATTCAACTTCAGAAGGGGTGGCCTTTGTCTGGTACATAAGCATTTCCTGAGCAATGTCTTTTCTGTTTTCAAGCTTGTTCATTTTGTCATAAGTCTCAGTATTTAAAACAGACCACCCCAGGAACTGTGTGAGAGTCTGCAACAAACCCAAACAAAGCAGCGATGACACCATGACAATAAAATTAAACTGGCAGGTTGAATTTACTTTTCTTAAACTCCAGTTTCTGGTAGTGCCCTGTGAAAAGCAGTGTGTTTTTAGAGGCCTTTACCTTCCATCAATAGGTTCTGTTAGCACCTCGCAGCTTTTAATGACATTGTCTCAACCTAGTAATTAAGGGCCCATATTCCCATTCTGTATATAGGACTTTGAGGCTTATGAAGCTTAAGTCAGCTGAGTGGACTTGGATACACTGTGTAGCATCTTATCTTGCACAAGTGCATGTGATAATGAACACTTTGGGAATTTCGATGATCACAGGCATGATACACATTGGCAAGCAGCACACCATACCTGCTTAACCCACTGATAATTAGGAGATGCTGACCATCACTAAAAATAAGATATAGTTTTATTTTTAGCCATTTGACTTTTGTTCATTATTGGAATGTAAATAATCTCTCATGAATTTTCAGGTTTATAAAGGGAAATAAAATTTCTGATACTTAAGAAACTGTATAGTGAAGAAGATAGACATTTGGCTAGATGTTAATATAGCCTATTTGAAAATTTTTAGACATTTTAAAATTACTTTTTACAATAATATTTTTATTAACATCATATGTATTCTTAAAGCCTCTAATCCTATTAATCTTACTTCAATGATCTGTTCATCATATTCATCAAAAGGTTTTCCATCTTTCCTGTTGTAGAATGTTGCAACTCCCACAATTTCTTCTTTTTTGTTGACAATAGGCAATGACAGGACATTTTTGATAACCCATCCACTCTCATCCACTGGTCCTTTCTGTAGGAGATCCAGAGAAGAGGAAACGTATTTTTCTTTGAAAGTATCAATACAGCTATTGATATAGGCAATGTGACACTAAGACATGTGCATCACAAATAAAGGAGAAATTATTTATGTGATCAACTCTGGAAAACATTAGCATATTTTTCTACAATATCTATAATTATCAGTGTTACTGGAACTACCTGAAATGTGAAATATTCATCTGCTGGTGCATTCATCATGTTACAAATCTGCAGCATAAAGAAAAGGAGACATTTTTTAAATGGAATACAATGTGCATCAAGACTTCGCCTGATATTTTAAAAAGGCATAACAACAGTGAGCACTCTATCTAGCTACAGAAATTAAAACTGTTCCTATCAAGTTAGATGTGGTTATTCTAACAGACATGATTCTAGAGTGCTTGTAGCAAAATCCCTCATGTATGATGTCTCACAGTGCATAAGCATAATGGTTAAGATAGTCACTTCCAGTTTAAAATGGCATGGGGGTTTATAGAAAGAAATAACTAATGGCTCTGTCCTTACTACTATTAAAAATGTCATAGGATTACTAATAACTGTGATATATCACAACTTTGAATTATGTATATTGTCTATGCAAGGAAAGATATGAAAAAAAGAAAATTTTAGAACTGTCTATATGATGATTTCTTACTTTGACATTTTGTTGTGAGACTTAGCACACATGGGAAGTGATGCACACATTGTACCTCTGATGTCACTATGATCAGAGGGAAATTGTCTTGATGTTTTGGCCGTTTGTGCTGAGGGAACTGCATGATCTAAAACTTCCAGTTTTTACTTTTGCTATGAACTTACAAATCCATTTTCAGCAACATATGTTGGCAATCCACTAACAAGACACCAGTGATCTGCTGGAGGTGACCTTTAGGGAGAAAATGAAATGAAATGATTTCTGCAATGTAAACATGTTATTTTTCTATCCCAGCAATATATCTAATTTCCACACATTTGCAGGGTGCCAATAAATACTCACGGAATTACTTTGATTTCTTCATTTCCATGTAAAATATAGTCAATAATCTTATAAAAGTTGACTTCCTAAATAAAAGAGAAAAACATGTAGGTGATCTGTACAACCTCAATGTCAAAATCAAGATTCATAAAAAGAAAAATTAATATCCTCACTCGTCCATCAGGTGTCTTGGGGCCTTTGTAAGGCTCTGCCTCCCCCAGCCGGATTGGCCATTCATCATAGAACTCCTGAGAAAATGATGCACAGTGTTTAGCAAAAGGAAAAAAAAATCAGTTTTGTGTTCATAGATAACAAGACATCTGTGGATAACAATTTTATTTTTCCTTATTAGTAGCTGTACTATGGTTACATTTCAGACAATATTAAGAAAACATTGTTAAATATATTCCAGGCAAGAAATGTTTGCCAGTAAATTGCAAGCTAATCTGAAGTTTATCTCTGGATGGTTGTCTAGCTTAATTGTTTTAGAAGGCAGGTATTTATAAAGCAATACTCAGATGTGCACTTTCTCACATGGAATTATTAATATGCAAAATGATTTCAGAATTAACTTTTATGTTTATCATGGTTGTATTGTTTGCTATGCTTTATATTTTGCATGTAGTATTTGTAACATGGTTAGATTTTATATAAATTATCCCAAAGAGCTATAAAGCATGGTAACTTTGTGTCTTGGAGAGGCATGCACTAGAAACATGCAGAACAAATAAATTAGAAGACTGGATTTTATAACTTAAAGTTAGAAGTAGCACATTTCTAGCAAGTAGGCAAAATGATTGTTACCTTCTCTTTATTCATGTCCAGCAGACCAACAGAGTATCTTTCACAATTCAGATACATTCGAATAGTATACAGTGCTTTGTGAAACTGCCGTTCTATATCTGTTAGCTCTTCAAATACTTTGTTGGCAGACCACAAAAGCATCTGTTTACAACAAAAGAGAAAGAGGGTAAATGTTCACAACATTAAGAAAACATAAACATATGAATCCTAAGCATTCCAGAATAAAATAAGGTGCATTACTGTTATCAAATAAAGAAACTAAATAGATGCTATCCTTACTTCAGTAAGCTTGCAAGAATATAAAGTACTGGAAATAATAATGGTTTCACACAAAAATGAAGTGTTATCATTAATAAATTCTTCTATACCTGACTTCTTCGGGATTCAATATTGTAGAGGTATGTTGTATGATGATTTCTTAGGACCAGAGATATAAAATGGAGGTATTTTTTAAAGACCTAAAAATGACAAAGAGCAAAGACAAAAGTATCAAATTAAGAGGTAGATTCATTCCAACTACTTGTTGAACTAACAACTGTACTGTTGTGACATTTGAGGTTATTACCTCTTCATCCTCTTTTGAGAACTCAGTGGAATTTAATTTGTTGAGTGCCATCACAACAGCGAGCACCTCTTTACCCTGCATAATTGGAGTTGCCAACATATTGTTTGTTCTATAACCAGTTTTTTTGTCCAGGAAGTCAGAAAAATGGTTGTTCTGAAAGAAAAGAAAAAACAAAACAAAACAAAACAAAACAAAACAAAACAAAACAAAACAAAACAAACCCATAAATGAAACCCATAATAATTAGTTACCATGCCAAGAGCAAATTAGAATTTCATTTGATAATTTATGTTTACAATGCTATGAGCATAGTTTCACAGTGCAATAGGCTTATACACATAAAATCCCATTATTTATTTAATTCAATCTTGCAGAGTTATATGTACCAGCTTTATTTAAGCATTGGTTATGAATATAGCTTCTGAAACCAAGTTCTGTGCAGGTTTTTATTAGAATGATGAGGAATTTGAGGAATTAAAATTATGGGAAAATCTAGAATAAAGGAGAGAGTAATATGACTTTATATCGACTTGAGAGTCTAATACATATGGCTTGCATGTAAGAGAATTACTTCATAGCTATGTTGATATTTATTATTATTTATTTCTGTAGATAAAATTCATTATACTGTCACATCACACAATATTTAAAACTGCTGTCTGTCCTGAATGTATATGGCTAAAAATGCTTCTGGCAGAGAGGCACCCCCAGAAGATATACATCTGGCTGGAGCTGTTTCTTACTCCTTTGTGTCTGACAGTTTCCTATTCCTGCTGGTCCCAGCCCAACATGCTCTTCTGCTGAATGGGAGGGTGTAGGACCGGAGCGATCAGGACACAGAGATGCTTTTGTTGGGTGTGTGATCCTGTGGGAATGAGACCATGTGACTTGTGAATGAGCCACAACTAACTACCCCACCAATTTCATCCTTGAAAGCGAATGCTGAGGATTTAGTAAGTGCTATTCTTTTCATTCCTTTACGTAAAAAATACTGGGAAGCTAGTTCATGTTTCATGAAAAACTGTTTCATTTCCTCATATCAAAGATACTCTTGGTGTTTCCTTTGAAAGGCTTTAGTGTTCCCTTTAAATTAAAAAGGGATTTGAAATTTCTCAGGCAAATCTGTTTGCTCGTCTTGTGTTTTTTGATGTTCTTATGATAATACATCTAAATGAGCTGATTTATGAGTTGGGGATTGAAATCTCTCAATATGTGCATACTGAGAAGTGACATGGTTCTATTAAGCAGTTAAAATAGCCAGACTTTCTTCACTGAGCCTTTTCCATCCCCTCGCATCTGCCACTGCTAACAAGTCAGTGCTCAACCTTCTTCTTCAGGGAGATAAGCACTCAAGTCCTGGTCTACAGTCGATGGCAGATTTTCCGTGAATTTCCTTTAGCAGTTCTGCTTCTGATTTCTCAAGGTGATGAGTGATTGGTGCTAAATGAGAATGACAGGAGGTGGTGAGCAGCCTGGTAACAGGGGAAGGTCAGACTACATTATAATACCATGGATAGGAATGGTAGCTGGCCAGAAGTCCAAAGGAGCCCTGTTTTAAGGACATCCACCCAGAACCACAATTCCCAAACTTTACCAATCCCCTGCTGTTAGACACTTGTGAACTCACTTACAAAGTGACTGTCTCGTTACTACATGTCTACCCGTGGAGCTGGTACATATTACAGCTATTAATTACTTCATTAGCTTAGGCAGCCAAAGTCTGCATGGTGGATCTCAAGGTGTCTTTCTTGTTGATGATGGGCAGGAGAATGTTGCAGGATGCAGCATAATGGAATTTCTGCTTTCATAAATTATACACAAAGCTACTTAAGTAAGCATTTTCTAGGTTGTAAGATCAAGCATGGCTAAATCAAAAGTCACTCTGGTGAAAACAGTGTGATTACACCTCTGTGAAAGGGAACATAAAGGCCATTCTTTCTAAAAAATAATTTTTATTTTCCTCATATGGCAGTTAAAAAAGCCCCATGCTTGCTGAGACTATACCATATCCAATTCTGAATTGTAGCTAAACAACTGTAAGTTCATGTCTGTAGTAAGGAAAATAAATATAAATGAGAAAAACTTGCTTCCCTGGTAATAACAGACATTTAGAGAATAAAGTTAATTTTAAAAGACTACATGAGCAGATAATACTTTATGATTATGTAGTTTGTTCTTTAAAAAAATCAATGTTCCATTACTGTTTCTGAAAAGTTCTTATTGATGAACTGCCCAGAAGAAGGATCCATCTTGTGTCTCTCTTATTTCATGGCCTTTCCCACAGATCTCAGTTCCTTTCTTGGGAGTGATATGTTCTTCAGTGTTTCCTTTTAAAGACCTTATTTCTTTCATGATGAATTCTCCTTCATTGTCTGGTTTTAGATATCCCACAATTCCTTAAGCAAACTATGAAGAAAAAGCTCAGCAAAAATTTCTAACCTTTCACAGACTTTATTCTATGCCAATCTTAAAAAATGATGAAGACTGTAATTCTAATGTTCATTGAACCATCCTACACTATTTAATAAAGGAAGTACATCTCTGATTTATAATGTTATTTTAGGATTTGCTACACTATGCTCCAGAACAACAAACTAAGCCTTGAGCATTTCTGATGGGATTAATGACAAAATGCAGCCTAAGGCAAGTGAGCTTGACACTATTGGAAACTCCAGGTCAAAGTCTGCAGTGTAAATTATTTGTTGAGTGCAAATTTTATTAGAAAATAGACAAACTATTATAAATAATGAGATAGTGTAACCCTTGTTAATTTGGTTTCCATTGCACATGCAGAAGTATGTAATTTATACAAATGCAGGAAAGAGAAATGGAGAAGTATAAAAAGCAATTCAAAATTAAGTATAAGGGAACAGGGATCCCTCTTCCTTGTTTGACTAGTTAGGGTGAAGATTCACTGCTCTGGTTGATTTGAGGTAATAAGAACAGCAGATCAAAGTTGTTAGTACCAAGGCTTCTCACATCTCCAGTATAATTGCTTCTTCCCAGTTGCTTTTAATTTGTCACACCATCAGTACTTCACTACATATGTGGTTTGAAATGTTACGAAATGAGACTTCCCCATAAACCTTTGCTTTCTTCACTGGGGGCCTTGCTAGCAAGCAGCATAATAATGTTTTGTTCCCATCCCACAGATGACATTTACACCTTGGCTGTCAGATCACCATCACCATTACTCCCATTCAAAAAACTCTTCCTGTTCCTTCCTTCTTGTGTCAACTCTGAATGACTTGTCAGTATCTGCTGTGCAGCCTACCTCTCCATTTTGAGTTTGGTGAAGTGCCTCAAATATCACAGTTAAGAAGAAGTGATAAGATTTAATCCTGCAGCTGAAGGTGGTAATGCCAAGCGACCAGATTCCTGTTTTCCTCCACCTCTTTCTTCTTGCAAAACACAGAGGAAGAATGGCTTTCTGGGACCCCTTGAAGTTATGACTACTTTGCTCATGTTGGGCTGGAGGTTATGGGTTGGATAGATGAGCTAAAACTGGTCAAAATACATCATCCTTTGGATGTGTGATGACCAGGAGTGGGTCTGGAGCACTACTGGAACAGGAACCACAGGAACCTCTGGCATCAGGAGCTGGTGTCACACTCTCATCATTATCACACATTTCTTTGCACCATCTTTACATATTTCTGTTTTTCATTTTGATAGCCCTGCAGTATTTTCTCCTCTTCCTGATATTTTGTTGTCCTGCTAAGTGTCATGCATTGGCTCAGTTTTCTCAAAATTTTTACCACTGAGTAGGTGGTATTCATGTGCTATGTTGCTTCATCTCTTACTTCTGCTTATGCTAAATTCAACTCACAAATGTTTTTATTTCATAATGATATAATTGACTGTGCAAAATAAAAAGCACCTACCATCAGCTATGAAAATGTCATCAGTCTGATTCAAAACCAAAACCAATTAGCTAAATGAGTTGGCCATTCATTAGGCCACACAAAAAATCATGTATTTTCAGGGATGTAAAACAACTGTATTTTGACATGTAACTTACTAGCATTACAGAACAAATTGACTTACTAGAGTTCTGAAACTGAATCAAGCAGAAATAAATATATATTTAACAGCATTTGGGAGCTGAACTTTTCAGTTATGTCACTGAAATGTCTGCTTGTTATTTGCTGCATGTAGTGGCTATTTTGCAACTTTTTGAAATCAGATCTGTATTATATTTAAGTATTTTTTTCACATAAAACAAGAAAATTAGGCCAAAAGGGAACTTTTCATTTTAATTTTTAATGTTCAGTTTTTCTTCAATTTTGGGAGTTTTCCTCTTGTAACACATATTAAGGAAAGAATTAAAAGTTTGGCATTTTCTTCTGGATGGCACCATTAATAGAAATTTGTTCCTATGTTAAAATATTTTCTTGTAAGTTCACTGAATCTCTGTCTTTATAACAGACTGGAACACATTTCCATTTTTCCAGTTAATATTTACTGTATTGAGTGTGAGTTTATGTTTTTTATTATCAAGATGATAAGATAAAATGGAAGAGCAGACATAAACATATACAATGCAAGTTATTCCCAGGTAAAAGCCTACCTCTCAATTTTTTCCTCACTTTTAGTTTATCCTGGAATTGTTTCTTTCAATTCTCATTAATTTCGAGACATTCAGGAAGGCAGTAGTTCTGTAGTGTTGTGCATCTTTGCTCTCATTTCTTCTCATTTTAATAACTGTGAGTTTGTTTCTCAAGAACTTTTGCCTAAATTTATATGAACAATCTTCCTCTGGCCTTCAAAGCTTTTTTTTAACATACCTGTCAATATGTTGGATATTTGGGTTTCTTCTTGTCCTGGGTTGAGTGAGTGATGGAGTTTTTTGGTGGCAGGGGAGGGGGCTATTGGGGCGGCCCCCTGTGAGAAGCTTCTCGAAGCTCCCCCAGCTCCACGTCAGCTCCACTTCTGTTTGGGAAATTGAGCCAATCAGCTGCACCTCTGCGATAATGTATTTAAGAAGGGATGTGGTGACGGGCAGTCGGACTTGTGAGGAGGAGTTGCTGCAGCTGCATGAACACCAAGGTCAGTGGAGGAACGGAGGAAGAAAGGAGGGGGGAGGTGTGCCGGAGAAGAGACCCCCTGTATCCTGTGGGGAGACGGCAGGGTGGCCCCCCCAGCCACCCATGAAGATCTACGGTGGAGCAGACACTGATTTATGGCCTGTTGCTCCTGCTCGGCATAATCAAGGTTCTGTGCCCAAAGAAGGCCGGGGTCTCATGGGAAAAGGTAGCCCCGCTGCTGTAATTCAGTGCTGGGAGGATTTCAGCATGCGGGGGAGTCCCACGCCGGAGCAGCTTGGGAAGGGCTGCAGCCGTGGGAGGGAATCCAGTCAGAGGAAGTTAGTGACCCATGACGGAGCAGTGTGGGGAACGCTGCGGCCCATGGGAGGAACTCATGTCGGAGAAAGTTTGTGGAGGACTGTCTCCTGTGAGAGGGGGACCACGATGGAGCAGGAGGAACAAGTTTCGGACACTCCCCTCACCGAACATGAAGGAAGTGGCAGCACTGACTGCACCCCCCATTCCCTGCCCCTGCGCCACTGGGGGAGGAGGTAGAGATATCGGGAGCAGAGCTGAGCCCGGGAAGAAGGGAGGGGTGGGGTGAAGGTGTTCTCAAGATGTGGCAATGCTTCTCACTGTCTTACTCTGTTATGTGTTGTTAGTGTCTGTAATAAATGTATGTTCTATTTTTATTTCCCCTAACGAGTCTGCCTCTTGCTCGTGATCATAAAAGGGGGATTTTTCCCCATCCCAGTCCTATCTCGGACCCCAAGCCTGGCTCTCTGTCCCTTCTCATTGCCGGAGGGGAAGGGAGAGAGAGCTGCTGCATTGTGGTTGGCTGCCAATCAGGCCTAAACCATGACACTTCTCCAAGAAGAGGGGACTAGCAGAACATGAGTTAAGAACTGAAACATCTTAGCAAGTGTCTGCCCTGCTACCAGCTCCACCGCAAAGTGACTCCATTCTTTCTGTTTTCAGGGCAACCAGTTGTGTCATTGACCATTTTGCTCTCTCCTGTGATTTCCCACTGCTTCATATTTTTGACATGGATGAGCCTCATTCCAGCAATGTCTTCTTGCCCTAGGATGGAGTCTAAGACTACCGCTGGGTGCCTGGACCGCTGCTGTATGTTAACAAAGCAACTGTTTACACACAGCAGCTGGACAACAGTTTAGTGTCCATGTCTCCTCACTGCCACATGGGAGTTTGAACCACTGAGCTGCAAAACCATACTTCTCATTGCTCTTTTCTCTCCCCTCTTCAAACAATCTTTAATGTATTTTACAATTTGATGTAGATTGGAGAAAAGAGATGGAGTGTCTCTTCTTCCTCATTCCAGGCTCAGACAGACTGGAGCCTGGGGACCAGCACATTCCCATGAATCTGAAACTCCTGTCACTTCAGACAGGCCTGGAATTAAAGTTTCTCCCACCCTTGAATTAAAGAGAAGTAGAGCTCCCACCAAAAAAAAAAAAAAAGACTCATGCAAACTGAAGCTGTATTACAAAGGCATGATACAAGTGCTTGCAACTTGAAGATATATTGAAGTTGTTTTGTATCATAAGTTTCTAGTGGTGAAATTCTAGTGGTTAAATTAGATTCCACAGTGATCACTGCTCTGAGTTGGAAGCACCAAAATCTCTCCACACTCTGTTCTTTCTTTATTTCACTAGGGGTTGTGGATTCCAATGCAGGACCTCTAAAAATGAGGGCTTGTTATTTCAACATCAGAACATTTCAGTCCCTTTATGGCTCTAATCCAAAAGCCTTCACTTCTTTAGAAGCATTTTTTCACCCTTTATATAATTTTATATTCTTTATAACCAGGAATATTATTTATTGAGTTTCCAATCCTCAGTTAAATCTTTGTCTTCAGATATCTCTGAATTAAACGGAATAATGCAATAATTTAAATACATGATGTATTGAAGCAAATATATATAGTCTTTATTATTGGTTCTTACAGGCTGAGAATGTGAGATTCTGATTCCCCAGAAGACATGCTTGTTTAACTATTTCTTGGTTTTATTTGGAAATAATGCCTTAGCAAAAGATGTAAGGTAATTATGCTGTTCTTTATCATGTTGTCCATGTTATCAGTTAATATTCAGATATTAATGGACATATAAAATTTTATGCAGTTGATTATTTTACTTTGAAATATTTGATTCACATACTCTGCCAGATGCTGGCAACAATGTGAGGCAAATTATTGGGGTAGTGGTTCTGCCTGGCCTCCAGTTTCTCACCACTATTAAATCCTGGATTAAACACTATTAGTTCTCGCAGCCAATAGGTCCATAATCTTGTAGGAGGAGACTGTTCTGGCTACTAAATTAATTACAGAAGGTCTGTATCTTTTCCTCTGTTTTTCTTTTCTGAAGCACTAGTTGGGATGAAGAGCTTCCTCATTTTTATTGGTACCTTTCCAGATTACAGAAGGAGATAATCCCTAAAGAACTGGCTACCAGGCACTAAAAATGGAGTCTTACGTTTTTTCAGTGATTTATTGCTGTTGTGATCTTTCATTACATTCACTCTAGTTATAAAGGGGTGGTGACTGAAGCATGAAAATGTCTTACTGTGGGTTTATCAATGTTGTCATGTATTTAAGACTTAAAAAACCACTATGCTGTTTGGATATAGATTGTGTCAACAATAGAAAGTGGTTAGACATGGCATATTTAAAGTACTATAGCCATCTAGAATTATTCATTGTGTGTTTTGTATTCTGACAAGACAGTAGGGGCAAATTTCCTCTCTGGCTTAACTCTGCTTGTAATTTTTTGCTCAGGATTTGGACAGCAGACAATCTGGTTTGACTGAAGTGCATGCAAAGTGATCTGAAAATTAATTACCTTTTCAAAAATGTGAATTATCCTTTCAAAAATGTGATAAAGGCTTCAGTAACTGCCCATTTCTGCTGCCATGGACTAATTATATTAGTTAAATGTTACTGACTACTTCAGTTCTGGGTTCCTTACAAAGATAAAGATTCTGGTGATATTAGTGGAAGCTTTGCTTGTGTGAGGAGTGTGGATTTGTACACTTGACTTTTTATACAAATAGAATGGAAACAGTAACAATTTTGAGACCTTCAGGGTTATTTTTAAATAACAAATCTTGGTCCCAGAGAAGTCTCTGGGAGTTTTGTAATTAACTTATAACATGTCACTGGTTTTAATGACATTTAGTTACCAAATGTGGATTAATGGCACCATGGTTTAACTGCATTTTTAAGTGTGGCCCTAATGGCATAGACTTCAGTAATCCTAAGAAAGTAAATGGATGTCTAAGTACAAATTACCTTAGAATGACTGAATAATAGCTGGACAGATAATAAGCCAACATGAATTAATTTATGAGTGCAAAATGTATACCTAGCAGGATTAGATGGACAGAAAGGTTGTCTTATTTAAGCATATTCAAATTTCATTTGTCATAAAATTTTGAACAAATCCTATTGCTAATGCAGAAATATTTGGGTAGCCCTGCTGTGGGCCCCTCTCACATAATGAAATTAAGGAGCAGTGCAGTGTCTGATAGAGGGCACATCTTTCTTGATCCTCCTAATCTTTTCCCATGTAATCAGCCTTATGAATGTAGAAGGATTATCCTCCAATCTCCCCATGTGGTGGTAAGAGGTGGTAAATCAGGTGCTTCTTGTCAGATCAGCAGCCATTGAAGAAAGCATCTTAGGGGTCAGTTAAAAATCAACTAATTTGTTTTCTCAAATTTCTTGTCATTGTTCTGTTTGCTCCCATGATTCCTACTTACTTCTGAGGTAGTTTACTATATATTGGAATATTCTTTTCACATATATATACATTTTCATTTTTTTCTGAGCTTTGAAAGTAGTCCTTTATTTCTTTATGTCTGCCAACTTTTAACATGATAAAATATATTATGCTTTGTTTACCTCCTGGAAAACATAGATAACTGCACTCTATAAAGACTTCTATTATTTACATAAAGCTTAGGACGGTGAGGTGGTTTCCATCTCTAAAATGGCCTGGAATTTTAAATTGCCTGTATAGGATATACTGAGAAGCCAGACTGTCATCTTGTGTAATTATCTTAGCACCATTTGATTATGCTGAGCTTTTCCACATAAGACTAAAAAGAGATGAAGATGTCACCATTTGATAATAAGGTTAGCTATTTTTAAAGAAAACAACAATCAAAACACATTTAAGTTTCCCCATGTATTTCAGAGCAGTTTCTAAAGCAGTTTGCATTCATGCATGTTTAATTTATGTTAGGTCACTCATCATTTTAATTAACATTTATAATAATGTTATCAGCACCATAACTAAAGCAGGTGATTCTGTGCAAATTCAACAGGAACTTTGAAAATGTCAGAGCAGCTCTGACTCATTAATCTTCTTCTATACATGGTTCTAAACAAAATCCCTGGATCTGGACATAACCAAAATTTGGAGTAATTTTAAATTCAAGGACAGACTTGAAGCTGAACATACATGATGACAACATCTTCATCTGACTTCATTCACCTACTTACAAGGAAGCATCCCCATTACAAAAGCTGCAAATTAATTGTATTCAGAGCTGCACGTATAGCAACACAGACAAGGGAGAACACTTGCAAGCCCATACTGTAAAACAGAATAGGAGCCTGCCTTGTTCAACAGAGACACAAGTACTTTTTGATCTCCAATAATCTAATATTGTCCTCCATTATTATAGTAAATTACATTACAACTATGTGCAAGAATGCTGGAAATACCTCACTAGGCTATATGAGGTGGTTTTTCTGGACTTTAAGCAAAGTCTGCTGCTTCTTTCTCATGGTTTTGGTCTGGATTTCTGTCTCTGGATGTTTTTGAAGAAGACTCTACTGCAAGCCCTGTGCAGGAAGCTGAATAAGCAAATACTCAGAAACCCATTGCCCAAGAGAAGTCACTTACCTTTTTCACATCAGGTATATTAAAAAACTTCTTGGTATGAGCAACCCATCCTGCTATCCCGATATCCAGAGGAAAAACAGTCTCATTGTCTGGTTTTACCAAATTCTCCTCAAAGCTAGAAGTTGGAGTGACATTGAGAAGCCTGGTGGCTACCTCTGGAATACCATTTCGGGAACGACAAACGAACATACTACACCGATCAGCTGCCAGCAGCTGTGCCAGCCTCTGCAGGGCCTTGTGCACTATCTTTTCCATAGTGCCTCCTTCATCCTGGATTTCTGTTAGCAGCTCAAAAAGTATGTTACACTCCTCCAGACGGGACATGTCTTTGAAGCTGACTCCTTCCTTCACATCGCCAGGGCTCACTTTAAAGATACTTCCCAGCACTTCTGCCCTCATTTTTCGGTCAAAATACTCCTTGGCAAACTGGGGGTTGTTCTCCAAGTATTTTTCAACGACATCTTTATTTACCTCAACCATTTTTGCTGGATTGTTCTTAGGATTTCTTTTAGAGCTGCATCACCATCAAAGCAGGAGTGGTAGCAAGAAGTCCTAACTTGATACTAGTAAGAAAACAGTACTTTCTACATATTGTATAGCTCACGGGCATAGTACATTCACCTTCCCCCTGTGGCTTCCAAGCCTTCTGAAACTCTTGAGATATGGCAGAAGGCACTGGCTTAGCATCTTCTTAGTCTGAGATCTTGGAAACTGCTAATTAAAGAGATGTCAGGACACTGAACCCCTGACCATTCTTAGCTCATAAATCCTAAGGGAATAATTTTAGCATTTTAAACTAACCAATTAATTCTTAGACCTTATAAAATTGTCTGATGTGTAGATATGTATACGTGTATGTTATCTCCTTCATTCACAGTATATGTATTGTACTATACACACAAAAGTTTCCATTGAAACTTTGTATGAGGAATTCCACTTACATACTTAGCCCACATTATACACATGCACAGATGTACACACATGTAGTTGTGAGAGGTACTTATGGGGAGGAAAACAGAATGTTACAGAGAAACTTTTAAAGTTGCAAAAATTTAGTTTTACTCAAAATCATCAGGAGATGATCAAAATTGGATTACTAATAGTAAATAATTACAAAACCATACATGTGTAAAATGGGTGAAATCCTAAAGACCTTACAAAAGTCTGAGTTTGCTCAAGTGATTTACCTAGGTGAAGATGGAGTAAAAGAATTAGAATTTAACTCAGGACAGCCAGATATGACTGTTTGGTGGTTGGGTTTTTTTCCCTTTTTTTTTTTTTTCTCTCCAAAATAGCCTAAAGGAAAGAGTAAAATAAGAAAATTGCTTGAATTCAAATTGGGGTTAGGAGACAGTAAAATTTTTACTCTCTAAGCATAAATAACCAGAAAGGGTCCTGCAAGTAATGTAGTTTCTTTTATGCCTTGTTCAGAAAAAGTGGGAGTTCTCTGTTCTCTTAAATAGCAGAAAAAATTGTAATAAATGATATACAGTGGGCGAAGAGGGAATCTTGACTCTGGCTGTAGCTTTATAACATGTCTGAAGTTTCCTACTCTTGCAAGTTCAGCATTATTCACATGAATGGAAAAGGAATGATGAAAACTGTGTTGAATTTCAGGAGCAAACACCCCAGGGCTACATGAATGAGAAGGCTGAGTTTGAGTGCCAGCTACAACAGTAAATGAACTGTGTTCATTGAAACAGAGCTGAATTTCAGCACAGTAGGAGGTCTGCAATATAATTAATCTTATTTCTATTTGTGGCATATGTATTTATCAGAAGCAGAAAGAGATTCTTGGTATAAGGAAACTAGACCATATACCCTCTGGCAATTCTTAATTTGAAAAGAGTAATTATCAAAGTACAAATTTTATCTGTCTTCCAGAGGCCCCAGTGTGTCAACATCCATTGTTATCAACAGATCTAAAAGAATCAACATGAGCAACTGACACTGATCCTCTCATGCACAAAGAACAGGTCAGTGATTGGTGTGTAATGGCAGCTAACTCAGTACATTCGTTTTCCTGACTGTGAGATGAAACGCTGTGTAAGATAAATTTTTGCCAGACTGCAGTTGACATAAAGATTTAAAAATGCAACTGAAAATCATCACAGTAGGGACACATTCTAGCCTGGTTCCTTTTCTCTGTCTGGGTTACTTACCCCTGGCAGCCTGGGGGGAAAGCATGCGACCCTCACTGGTGGGTGTGTGATGTCACAGCATCTTCTTTACAGATGTGAACTGGTGGTACTAACTTTGTGGCAGACTGTGTAACTGCAGCACAGCAAGATGTTCTCACCATTGTATTCATGAACGGACCACAAGAAAAAAAGAAGCGGAAGAAATGCACATATATCTTAATTGTTGATTAGTTTCATGATTTGATCAGTACAGTATAAAAGCAATAGAGACTTGAAAATAATTTTATATGTATTTACACAAAGTTAAATTATTTCTCTTCATCTGTTATCTTCCTAATTTCTAGCTCAATATTTTTCATGCTGCTCTTTAAAAAAGAGGATGTTGAAGAACTTCAATTAAATTGTGTGAAGGAATATTAACATTTTTTTTGCATTATTTGTTTGGTCATATTTTCTTACTGACTTTGGAACATTCTACATAGTAGTTTCCTTGAAAAAGAAAGGGTCTATAGAGGATCTGTCTCATGTCCAGCTAAAACATTCTAGAAAATTATCTTCTATATAAGATTTACACATTCATTTTTATCACATGTGAGAAACCAGATTTATAAGCATTAGTTGTTCTTTATATTGTGATTACATTAATTCTATGAAATAGAGCAGCCTGTCACTCTCTGGAGGGAGACTAAGTGAACATAGTCAACCTGACCAAGTTACACTGTTTTTTTGAGGGCCAGGAGGGTTGGTGGGTTAACATTTTTGTAAGCTTACAGTTATATTATCATGTGTGCCTTTTTTTTTTTGATATGCAAGATCACCTAAAATGCTTATCATGGTTCCACCAAATCTCCCTCACGCCTAGCTGTTTTACAGATGATGAACTATGCTGTTTGTACTTTGAGATAACAAACAAAGATCATATTTTAATTAGACACTACTGTAAGGTGATAAATCTTTCTTTGTAATTAAGTATTTCAGATGCAGCTGGGTTGTCATATAATCATTCTTAGATCATCAAACAATTTCTTTTTCTTGTCTTAATTTAGATTCAATCTTACAATTGCACTCTTGCTCTACAAAGTGTGTGTGAAATGGCATGGAAAGAAGTATCAGAAACCAATAGAAGTTCTTTATGAAGTTCATGTTTGGAAGATAGTTAAGTTGGCTTTTTTCAACAATTTCTATATTAGTCATGTTATGTTTCATCGTGAACATTGTGTACATGTTGGTTAACCATGAATAATTAAGGCAAACCAAAAAGCTGAAGTGATTCGATAGAAATCAAAATGTAGTTTGGTACATAAATGTACTTTGCATTTATGGAAGTCTGCATTTTAGAGTGAGAAAAATGCAGTGTATTTGTATTGATACTTTTTTGGTTTTCTCATATTAGTATTTTAATGAATTTTGTAAATAAGATCATTTAAACATTTTGAAGCACTAGTGTTGTAATGAATTTTAAATTTTCTGTGCAGGAATAAGACATTTATTTTCTGTTCTATCTCATTTACTGTCCTTATTTTCCATGCTATTGATCATTTTATCTTTAGTAATTCTAATTCATATTTGTATTTATTATAAGAAACTATACCAAAAAATTATTTCACATTTCTGGTACTTTCAAACATGATTTTGCTATCATCTTTCCTGGCAATTTTTTAGTAAGATCACCTGTTGAGAAAACACATTTTAATGTACGATCCATTATATGCATGGAAGTTTAACACTGGAAACTAACCTTGCATAGGCATTTTCACTGCACTTTCAAAGGCAAAATTAATATGCATTTGGCTTTGATTCTTTTCCATGCTGAGGCTCTTTGATTTAAAAACATGATGGGCACGGTGCTGTATTTTTCAAATTGTTTTAATTTCAAAGAATATCAGAAATATGTATGCTTTGTGATTTTAATACATATTATGTCATTTGCCTTTGACATTTATAGTTACTACAGAAATCAAACTATTTATGGAGTAGTCCTCAGTAGTAGACCATTTCTGAGCCCTTGTGATACATGCAAAGTCCTAAGAAGGTTAACTGACAGATACAGTTATTTGAATAGGTTCAAACAGCATGTAAACATCAAAGGTATTTATAAGGTTTCCCAGTTCAACTCAGTGTTTGTATCTGAGCATCTCTGTCCATCTTGATACAGTTAATGTGATTCATGCAGTTAAGATTTTTCTGAAGAAACACAGATCAAATGTGTTTATTTCAGTGGCATGGCTTTTGATGTGGATAGTTTTGTGGCTACGGTCTGGGCATTTGAGATTCATATGTATTATCCAATAAATTAATATTCATAATTCAGATTTTTTCATAAATGATTAAGGTGTGAGATTGGATCCTGTACCTATTTACAATAGATACTGTGTGTCCCTAAAACAGTTTTTGGCACTGAAATGTTTTGGTGTCATGTATCTGGTATGTTTTGGGGACCTTTATAAACAACCTCAACTTTTATGTTTCTTTTAAAATAATTTTCTGTCCCTTTTCTGACAAAAGTAATCTTAAAAAATGTAAACACTGACGACAGTAAATTAGCTGCTTTTCTATACAGCCACAGATTTTCATGATCCCTTAAAACTATCAATTACTAGCTCTGGATGTTCATGAAATAAGTAGTCAACAGAGATTTTAGATTCTAGAGATTTCAGATTCTAGAGATTTCCTGAAGTAAATGGCCAGTCTAGCATGAAGGGGTTAACCTGAGTTGCCAGAGGCACTGTAGCTTTGACCACGAGCATGGGTTTCTTGGTAGCTTGGCTTGAATTTTAGTATACGGACTAAGCAAAAGACAGCAGCCTTTTAATCTCGTCCACTCTCAATTTACTCCACGGTGATCTTGTGTTACCTGACCATTGTTTATTACTGAGAATATTACTCAGCACCACTGAGAAGGGCCTGACTCTGTCTTCTTCATACCCTCCTGCTAGATATTTATACACTTGATAAGATCTCCCCAAGCCTTCTTTTCAGGCTGAGCAGTCCCAGATCTCAGCCTTTCCTTTTGTCAGATTCTCTTATTGCTTGGTGATCTTCGTGACTCTTTGCTGGACTCATTCCAGTATGTCTGTATCTCTCATCATTCATAGCTTAAAGCTCTCCTCACGAGGCTGGCCAGCCTGTTGGCAAACTCCATCTTTGTTTCAACTTGTTTCCATTTTAGTAATACATCTAGAAAAACATTTCAATTCAGAATCACAATCCTCAGAAAGGTTTGCTAAAGAAAATAAAGGTACCATTTTAAACTAGGTTTGTTTAAATACTTTTTATAAAGAGGTCAATGTAAATTCACTCCTTAAGCAGAATGCCAAGTCATTAAATTACATAAACAGGTAGCATACGGGCTGGATCAGCTTGTGCAAAGGCTGATCTTTTCAATTCCATTCTGTCCTTGACCTCTGTACTCAGACTGCCACCAAGGGGAACAGTTGTGATGGTGACAGTGTACGTAGTTGTCCCTTACAAAGTACACGGAGCTCCTTGGCTCAGTTCATGCCATTTGTTGTCACTTGTTAATATGAGTCTGGTTCCACAGGGCAGTGTCTATGCTTGGATCCACTGCTCTGTGCACACAGTGGTCATTTATTCCCCTGAAAAATCTGCCTCTGATTGTTTAATGGATACCCATGTTTGTGAATGGTACTCTATAAATAAATAAGACAACAAAACGTCTTTCAATATATGTGAAGTCTGGCTGGAAATGGATGCTCTGTTTCCTATTACCAGTTTTTGAGCCAGCTTTCTCCCAAGAACTAGACTTATTCTTGTGACCACAAATAAAATTCTAGTTCTTTTAATACTTAAAGCTTCAGTGTCGCAGAGTTAAAAATGTTTTAAATAGTAAGCTGACTCTCATTTCTCCCTTTTTAATATAAAGTCATAAATGAAACTAAATTAACTCCAACAATGAAAGCTTCTTTCTGCCATTTTCTTTGAAAATCTGACCTTTTCTGTGTATTTTCGTTGCTATTCCTAATAGAAAATATCGCAGAATTTTACAGGCTATTAATGTAAAAAATATTTCAATCACAGAATCACTGCCAGAAGTTAGACCCTTTTTAGGCCTCTTGGCAAAATTCAAAAGTAGAAGACTTTTTTCCCTTTCAATTAAATACAGTTCCAAAAAATACATGCTGACTTTTAAAAAGCTTTCTGTAATATTCAAAATATGCTGCCAGCTTCGAATGACAGAATGGGAAGTCATACATGAAATTTGTCAAGCTTGCTGTTGAACTTAGCACAAGTTTTGTAAATGTATGCTTTACATTAGAAGTTATTTGCATGTTTATGTGTTATTAATATCTTAATAATTCTTATAAATTTAATTGTCTGAGCTTTCCCAGAACCCAGCAATCATTTGTTGCCATTGACTTGATCTATGCACATTACTTTCAGAATCAATTGAAATCCTGACCCAAATTCTGTTCCTTTCTGTTTGCATGAGAAGTACAAATCTTCAAGTGGCATATCCAGGTTCCAAAGATCCGGATGAGGATCACTTGCTGGCATAATTTCTCAACTGAACCCATAGCCCAAGTCAGTACAAATGATGATTAACTGAGGCACAGTTTACACTGTTTATGAGTTTACATAGTTGTGCTGGCATAGCTACATCTGTTAGGACTGAGAAGAAATTCACCCTTGAGTTGCCATAACAATGCTAGTCTGCCAGCAACTTTCCGTCCCTCCTCTAATACACTCCCAATCTATATCCTAGATATAACTGACAATAAAAGAGCCTTTTTGCCTAAAAAGCTTGTTTCATTGAACCAGGGAAGTCTAAGTGTGGAAGGACTTCATTAATGTAAACTGTGTCTCAGGTAGACAGAATTGGAAGTATAGCTAAATGAGAAGAAGCATAGAGCCAAATTTTTACCACGTTACCTTGAAATTGTACTGACTTGCCCAGATCCTCTTCTGCAGTTGTTGAAATCTGACTGGGAAATACTGGTGTGACTTCACTGTAGCTGTGCTCCCACAAATCCACAGTGATAACAGTTCAAAAGGAGAGTTTTCTGAGGCATTGCCTAAAGTTTGTAGAGATCCCAGACTTGAGGAGCTGAATCAATTAGCAGTCTCTGCCAGGCACCTCCATCAGATATGAGTTGCCAAACATTGCAGGGATCAGCGGAGACACACAACTAAAGAAATGCTGTGCCATGGCTAAAACAAAATTATGTGTTTCCAATTTATTTTTGTTGATGACCTCAGATTAATTTAAGAGACTGTAATGGATCTTGCACATATTTAGAACTGATGTTATTGAAAATTATTAACAGAACTAAATTTTTGTTTCAGTGAGACCTGGATTGGTCTCCTGTCTGTAAAACTGCTGAGTACAACGTGCCATAAATACAATGGGACTGCTGACCTAGATTTTCAAAGTGGTCAAATCTCATCAGGTTTTGATTAATTTGGATGAGTGACTGTAGGCTCCTTTGAAAACCTCTGCAATAGAATTTTCAATGATAATTATGTTATTGACAAAATTTTATAGGAATAGATTTGATCCTGAAAGAACCCCTCTGGAAATATACAGAAACATACCTATTTTGAATAGGACAAACTTAGGAGAAATAATAATATTTCATGAATTGTCAGAGAATAAAGAAATAATTGTTTTCTTTCGTATTAAAGAAAGTAATAGATTTAAAGCTTATAAATTAAGCTGTAATCACTTTTCTTGCTCTTGGTTATATGAGACACTAAACAAAGAAAATCCATGTTGATTTTGATCTTGTAAGTATGATGAATTCATATATTAAGACTAGTGAGTGTTTTGTAAAAGTTTTGTAAAAATGCATATATATAATTGGCATCACCATTGTCAGAGGCTGGAGCAAGTTTCTAAAAGCCACCAGAGGGATATAGATTGCTGTTTCTCTTCAGTCTCTGTGGGAATTAACAAACTTGAAAATCTCAGCTGAAAAATTGAAATGTTGACTTATTGAAAGACTAGTGTTGAAAGTTTCAGGACAATTAATATGCATCAACCTTTCTGGTCACTTGTGTTAAATATGTTCTTTACTCCAAATAGAAGGTTAATATTAAACATAATGGAATTTTTAGTATCTGATGTTATCCAGGGAATCAAAAGCTTCAGAGCAGACTTGGAACAGCCCTGAGCATTTGATGTTTGAGACAGTGAACAAAAATACACTCTCTATGCAAAAAAGCTCCGACACAAAGCAGAAAAGGAAGATAAATCAGACTGTGCCACTGTTTACATTACATATGAAAAAGATTGTAAAGGGCACAACAGTAAAAAGCTTAATATTTTAATGAATATATGAAAGGAATAGAAGACTGAAGTAAATTTTTTGGAAAAGGCCATGATGAATAAATTGTTTTAATTCTGTACATCAGCTACTATTGAACTGGTTTTTATACTACATCTTTATCTCTATATTTGAATTATATTTTTGCTTAATTCTTAAAGTAATTAACACAGACCTTCAGACCTTTCAACTAACAGGCTTCTGCCTTTATTCTTTCAAAACTGAGGGATGAAAAAAGTAGGTGAATTAGTTCTCTTGGTAACAATCATTCCTATCCTGCTCTGGTTACATGTCTAGAAAATAATTAACAGGTTTTCTCTAATGCTTCCTAAAGATGTTGAAACTATAGAACAAATATTGACTGAGAGGCAGCAAAACTTGCCTAGACAGGAGAAAACAATAATGGTTTATATAACTGAAAACACTTTGCCAAAAACTGAACAGAAATTCTGGAAGCTCTGATTTAAAATTGACGTCAAAATGGCCAGATGTGGTATGTACATGCACTCAGGTATTTGCAGGCCACACATATGTCCTGCCACCTTTGCAGTATGGCACAGAAGTGCTCTTTTGCCTTCCTGAAGATTTGCAGAGCCCCAGTTCCTGTCCCTGGAAGCCAATCCTGAGATGTTTTAGCCAACCCAGCCTTTGGGAAACAAGAGGGAACCAGTCATGAGGACCTGAAGAAGTTCTAGCATGACCAGGCTTTCAGAAACAACAGCAGAAACTTGCAAGTATGATGTTTGCCACTGTTTATCAGGAGAAGAGAGGAAAGGAATTTGAGGAGGAGGCGGAGGAAACAAGTCTGCGTCTTGTAACTGGGTTGAGCACATTGGGTAAGAAGGACTCTGAACTGCAGTGTGTAAAATCACAGAGGAGGTGGAGGCAGCTCAATCTCCCCCATGCAAAGATGGGGTGCCTCTCTTTTCCTTTGTTCTCCCCACACATGTGCACACCCTTTTACCCAGGTGTGAGTTCTGCCTTTGGGTTAGGAAAACCAGAGAGGCATTTGCATCTATTGTCTGCTTGTCTGCAGGTTGGGGTCAAAGACCACCTGAGCCCATGAGTGTTACACAAGAGGCTGTTACGATGTGGCCCCAGACTGCAGCATGCATCAGTCCTCCTCCTACCCCGCCTCCAATGCTGGCTGTCTACCTCAGGGGGGTTGCGAAAGCCTCAGGACTACATAAAGCATCCCCTCTCTGGGCACCCTGCCACTGCCATCAACACTTGGGCTCTCAAGAGGCTACAGGGACTGGCACCGTCTGTAAGGGACCCTGCTGTAGTGGGCTGGGGACAACCTTGCTTGTGCATGCATCAGGGAAAGCTGCACAATGTCCTGGGGACCTGTCATGGCAGCCTTCCTTCCTCACTGGCGTGACAGAACCTGTTTCTGATGCTATTCTCTGTTTGCTGTTGCTGCAGGGACAGGATGGCCCACACAGAGAGAGCTCTGCCCTGGCTGCTGCTGCTGGCACTGGCCTTGCTGGGCAGCAGCGTGGCGGAGCGGGACTGCCGAGTAAGCACCTTCAAAGTCAAGGAGAACTTCGACAAGACCAGGGTAAATCTTCTTTCTCTCCTGATCTGTGATGTCTTGCCTAGCTCCTCTTCCCAGGCTAAAAAAATCTGGCATTCAGTAGCACCAGTGTGTTCACATTTTCACTCAAAGTCACCAACTGCAATACTGAGAAACAGCAGAATATGTTGTTGCCCCCATCTCCACGGATGCTGGATCCTGATGCATCTGATAAAAGAATACTGCAGAAACTGAGGTTCAGCAGACTGATCTCAAACTGTATGGTCTAAACAAAAGGAGTATAGTGATTTGATTGTTTCTATGAAAAATTAATACTTTGGTGTTTTCAGACATCATTGCAAGGAAAAAACATCTATACATAGACCTGTCAGGACCTGCCAGTTGTTATCCTCTTCCTACCAAATTTTGTATTCTAAATACTGGAGAACTACAGATACAAACAAGATACCAAAAAATGTCTTTCACAAACCCTGGCTGCACTAGAACATACTGGTGGGTTTATGCTGTTGGAACAGCTAGATTTGTTTCTTAGGTACAACTGTGAGGCATGGTGTTAAAGATCTGCATGTCCTCCCTCTGTCACCTCCCCTAGTTTTTAATGTCTGTCTGTAATGTATTCCATACTTCTGAGTTTAACTGCAGCCTTTCTTATTTCCGTGCAGTACAGTGGCACCTGGTATGCCATGGCTAAAAAAGATCCTGAGGGCCTGTTTCTGCAGGACAATGTAGTAGCCCAGTTCACCGTAGATGAGAATGGACAAATGAGTGCCACTGCAAAGGGCAGAGTCAGACTTTTCAAGTAAGCTGTTTGCAATCTTCCTGTTCTTTCATTTCACTAAGCCTCTGCTTCATTTACTGGTGCTCTAATCCTACCTGCTATCCCTGCACTAGTCACACAGTCCCAACGAATCGGTGCTGTTAGGTTTGATTGTGATTTTTTCCTTCTCTCTGGCTACAGTAACTGGGATGTCTGTGCTGACATGATTGGCTCTTTCACTGACACACAGGATCCTGCCAAGTTCAAGATGAAGTACTGGGGTGTTGCCTCTTTTCTGCAGAAAGGAAGTGAGTACTTAGCTATAGAAGATGCATAACTACTTATGAGTCTAGTTATGTTGTATGTTCGTGCTGGGGAAGGAAAAAGTAGTGTTGGATTTTCTAAACACACTTAAAACACATAACAACTATCATACAGCAAAGCCTTAATGTGAACAAGGTAATCACTATTTTTCATATGGGGCAGCTGGTTGGTTCTCTTTAAACAAGTGAAGACCAGGCTGTGTATATCTTTTTATTTCTTTTGTTTGTTACCCAACATTATAATCGTTAGTCACTGTTTGGAAAGAAATTAAATATATTAAAACTTGGTTTAGTTCAGAACTCAGTTACTGGATGCTTCTGTTCTCTCTGAAAAGTCTAACATCAGACTTGGTCAAGCAGGGAAGAGGATTTTGCAACTGTTATTTTGCTTGGTCTCGTGTCTGCAAATTTGGAGATTCATCTGCTTTAAGAAACAAATATGATCCAGTATATATATTCAAGTTTTTCTGTCATCTGTCACACCCTACGCAAAATTAGTTTATTGAGCCAAGTAGAGATTCAGACACTTGTAGCTCAAGACATTTCCATGGATTGTTTCCAAGAGAAGCAGGTGGAATCTGGAAGTGATTTGAGCTCCATTCTCTCCAAAGACAGTTACAAAGAATGCTTTGGATGCCAATTGCTCTTGAACTGTTGCTGAATCTCCTCACAGCATGCTGCTGAATCAAGTTTTCCTGAATACTTCAGATTGCTGGCTGACCCCAGAATCTACCTTTCTAAAACCTGTGGTCTTCACTCACAGGAGACATGGGGAAAAGAATATACAGTGTTGCCTTCACCAACCCAGACATAGTGCAAGGGAGGATCTTTTGCTCCAGGAGAGAACAGTGCAGAGATGACACTTACTGCAAAGACCTAGGTTCACTTCTTTTAGCATAGGGTGTCTTTGTGACCAGGTATTTATCAGATTACCTAGCTAAATAGTTAAGAATTATTTGAAACTATAACTGTGAGAAGAGGGTTTATGATAGAGCTTGTAGCAAATACACTTCTAACACATGGAAACTGCATAATATTTTTCCTTAAAAATACAATTTAAGTAACATCCCTGGCAGGAAAATAGTTATGGTTTTGAGTAATCTGGAGCATGAGTAGCATGACCAAGACCACCTTTAGCTTCTCTATTTGTTTTGGGCTTTTTTGATTTTTTTTTTTTAACTATTTTCTGACTGTTCCCCTTTCTTGGTTAAAATATGAAAACTTTATTTGTACTACGTGTTAGCTATGGTAATACACAGTTCTTTTTTGTGTTTGCTGCCATGTTTTATAATGATGTTCAGGCATGGATTTACATGGCATTTATTAGCACTTTTTCATGCTGCTCTTGTTCTGTGCCCATATTAGAGGAGGAGCAGTGATGTCAGCCATTTCCTCTTCTTTCCATCCCTGTCCCTGATAAATATGCTTATTTTCTTTTCAAAAAAAAAAAACAAAAAAAAACAAACAAACAAACCTCCCCCCAAACCATGTAATTAAATATTGGACAGAGGAGCAACCTAAGAGCTAATCTGTTATCAATTATCCCAATCTTTGTGTTATGTCCTTCACAGAGTTATGGCAGCTATCTCTTCAGATTTACTGGATTTTACTTGTGTCTCTAACACCTCTTCTTCTTTGCTATGGTTTCTTCCAGATGATGATCACTGGGTAGTGGACACAGATTATGATACGTATGCTCTTCATTACTCCTGCCGCCAACTAAATGAAGATGGCACTTGTGCTGATAGCTATTCCTTTGTGTTCTCCCGGGACCCCAAGGGATTGCCTCCAGAGGCACAGAAAATTGTCAGGCAAAGGCAGATAGACCTCTGCTTGGACAGAAAATACAGAGTTATCATTCATAATGGTAAGAACATTTTTTTCTGAAAAATTTTATTTCAGGGTTTAATAACTAAAGCACTGGGAGTCTCTTGCTCATTAAAGAGCAAATGCATGAAGTCTTTTACTTAGTGGTTGTAATATTGTCTTTTCAAAACTGGAGCTTGTAGTAAGTTATTTCCAACTTTTACTTCCCTTATCTGAAGGAGAGCTAAGGTGTATAGCTTTTTATGTGGCATATCACATCAGCTGAAACAATAATTAGAGGAAGTTGTAAAACAATTAAATCAATGTAGTATGAGTAAACATGGTAAGGATAAACTTCATAGTTGCTGTAAAAAGAAATTGTGTCTCTAATCAGAACTCTGTCTTTCTCAACAAAATAGTTGGTGAAGGGAATAGAATGTATTCTCAAAAACTTCTTTGAAAAATTCTTCATAAAAGACTTTAAAGGAGTTCCACAAGTCTTGGAAATTATACCTTATAGCAGACCCTTTCCCACAGGTCCTCATGCCAACCATTTCACAAAAGGTTGTGGAAGAGGGGCATATCCCTCATACTGGAAGTATGGCCTTATCTTGAGTCATATATTCAGGCTGAGCTTGCAACACAGGAAAAGACACAGATTAGCTCACTGTGCTTAGGTATATTAGAAAAGGCCAAACAGTAATTTATGCTACTTTAATCAGTGATCTAGAAAAAACTGTACTATTCTTACTGATAAAGATTACACCAGGAGTGGGGAATAGTAAAGAATGAAGACAGATCAGAATATGTAGGATGAAGAAAATAGTAGTGTACCCATCCCTACACCACCCCTGGCGTTCTGGCAGACATGATACCTACAGAAAACTTGACTGGTGAATCAGCTGAATGTGAACTCCCAAGGTAATACTGTGGCCAAAAGAATTCTTGGATGCATAAACCAAGGATGCAGAAGATTAATTTACAGACTCATATGAGACTGTTGTGCTTGGCATAGGTCTGCTTTCTATGTTTGGTGATAATCCTAATGTGAAAGGGTACTGAGGATGAATTAGAAGTTTCAAAGACAAGCAGAGAAAATGATTGAAAGTGTAAAATGTGTCCTCTAATGAGTGCTTCAAAGACCTTGGTCTTTTCTCATCAGAAAGAGGTTAAAGGCTGACTTGAGCAAAGTCTATTCTTGCCCACACAAGCAATGGGAATTGGATAATAAAGGATTTGCAAATGTAAGAATAATAAATTAAAATGGATGGAACTTTAAACTGGACACATTCAGAGCAGAAATAAATAGCCATTTGTTTAACTCCAAAGGTCATTAACCTTTGGAACAGTTTACCAAGAGCTGTTGTATGTTCTTCATCACTGAAATCTGTAAATCAGGATTAAAGGCTTTTCTAAATGACATGTTAGAATAAACTGGGATTGACTAAAGGAACTTTTGTGTATTATAAAGATGGTCATAACAGATGAGCACAGTCAACTCTTGTGGCTCTATTACCTGTTCATCTGATCTATAAACAGAGAGTAATGTATTGCCATGTTGTAAAGCAGGTATGCTGATAACAGGGTGCCTGAAAAATCTGCTAAGGTGGGTGTGTTTAGTATACTGATTAGTGACGTGGAAAAAGTGCCTGACAGCAATGAAAATAAAAATTTTGTCTTGAAAGAGAATTTGGAGACAACATAAATGACAGTTGAGCTTTAAGGCAGTCAAGACAGATACCATAAATGCAAATGAAATTGGCTTTTGTGAATGATGTGTATGATTGCATAAAGGGTAGGATAGAAAAAAAACAATGCCATTGTATAAATTGATTATACTTTCTTCTTTTGAATGCTGCATTCACTTCTCTTTAAATTAAGTATAGTAAGAATAAAAAATTCTTAAGATGAGAAAATAAAATGATGATTAGGGATGTTTTTGTATTAAATCTGAGATAAAGTCTAGATATACAGCTGTTGTGCTGTGACTTTGAGAGGTATGTGTTATGGTGGTTCCTTGCATTTCTGTCAAACCCAGAGAAAGTACTATCCCACTGTAAAATCAGGATACTGGGCTAGTCCAAGTACCGGTCTGATTCAGCATGGTGGAATCTGTGTTTCTATTATTTCTATATTATATGAGGCTTGCAAAGCAATAAATGTATTGTCAATCTTTTCAAGAAAGTATAAACCAAAAAGAAAAATTAACTATATTCATTTATTCATAATTTGTGATACAACTTTTTCAAATATCTCAGAACTTTTACATAATAGAATGCTTGTGTTTTTTCACAGAATATAGAACCAATAGTGTAATTTAAAAATTAAAGCTCAGAATGTCTTTTGAAAGTTCAGCCTTAGTCTTTGACTTCCTAACCTTAATTTAAAAGTGGATTGTGCTCCTTCTAGTTTGTTATAGAAATATCAAATCTACCAAGTTGCTCCGAGTGCTGTATTCTTGTCTGCTATCCTAATTTATATTCAGATGTTGGGTGTTGAGTGCAGTGTCTGATAAGACAGTGTGAGTTCTGTACTGTTTGTAAATGAAAAATAGTAGCCTGGGTCTTTAATGCTGTCTGCTTTCTATTGAGGATTATGCCAGAGTTTATCTTTATGAGCCCAACACCAAAGTATAAATGAAACTTAGAGCCAGAAATTTGCATTTTCCCCTTACTGTGATCAGGACCTGTAATTACCATAGCATTAGTTGATTCTGAAGTCTCCAGTATCATTAAGCCAAAGTTCCTAAAGCAAGGACACTTGGGAATGAGATAATGATGAAAACATTTTTTGAAAGAGTTAGTATCAGAAACTCTTACAAAATTCACTTCATTTCTTATGTGTGGATTGGAAGTCTTGCTACTTTAGTTTTAATTCTGCTATTAAGAGCTACAGAATTAGTAGCAAAAAAAAGACAGCTTCAATTGTCTGTACTGACCTGAATTCCATTGTTATTTTGGTAAAATTTTGACTGACGTTAATAGATGCTGTAGGAATATGCTTGTATATGTTTATAATTGTGCATATTCTGCCTGTGTCTTGAAGCTATTTTTTTTTCCCCAAGATTTTTCATTAGCTTTTTAAATTAATGCTGTGCTCAAATTAAGTTCTCCAAAAAACCTAGTAGATGTACAAAATTTACCTTGATGGAAAAAAAAAAATCAAAAACATCTGTTCTTTGTATACTGACTCCTTAAGGCAAAACGGAAGCCTAGGAAATTATTAGGTTTTTGATTGCAACTTATATTGCGTTTCTGACGGTAGCGCCTTTCCAAATATGGATCAAGCTATGATACACTTAGTCTCAGAGTAATAGCTCAGGTTGCTTGAAGTTACACAATGTGAGTCGGACTACTTGTAAATACAAATGATGTCATGATTGTAGCGTTGAAAGCTGAACCTGCTGTTAACATTTTCTAGAAGCGAAAATTGTGAATTAAAGAGTGATATATTCCTTCAGCTAATTTACTATTGCCATTAGAAGTTTTGGAGGTCAGGAGAGTTTTATTTTGTTGAAAGACATTCTAAAATTAGTAATTTTTAAAAGGCCAATAATTTGAAGCTTGTTAAAATAAATAAGTAACTCTCGTATCACTGATCTATCCAGTGCCTTGTTTGACAAAGTATTAAAATGCTCAGGACAGGTGTAACAGATTGGATGAATTCCTGTTTTGTTCCAAGCTGAAAATTCTTTAGAATTATAAACTGCAGAGCAAGGTATTGGCATTATCATTACAAGTAACAGACTGCTGGACTCATATGCATGCATTTTAAATTTGATGGAAGTTTGTATATTTTAATTTTGTCTGCTGTGGTTGAAAACCAAAATTTTGTTTTTTGTGTTTCAGGATTTTGCTCTTAAGAAGATCCAGAACTATGGAAAGAAAGCATGTAACAGCACCCTGGATGTAAAGTTAACACATTGATCTGGTGTTCTCTTTAAAACCTTTTAAATGGCTACATTTAGATTGAGTATATTTATCTGAGCTGTGTAGCTCACCTTGTTAATAAACCAATGAAATATTTTAATAAACTTGGATTACAGGGGATGCAAATTGCTTGTATGCAAATCTGTATATATGTAGACATTGGTTTTATTAGTAATTCGTTATCTTAATGCACTGCTTTGAATTGGTGACAGATTGTGATAATTAAGAATTTACTCATTTTTTAGCAGTTTCAATATCTGACTGAAGGAGCCTTAATTAAAAAAAAAAAAAAGTATTTTAATTTCTTTTCTAATACAATGTCATCTTTTCTCTAGGAAATACTGAAAATTGTTCCTAGTATCATTTTAGAAAGGAGGAAGAGATTTCAGTGACCTTATATATCACTGATTAACTTTATTATATGACTACCAAAGACATAAAAAATATGAATAGTTTTAAAAGAACGATTTTATACATGACAAGTAAACATTTATTCATATATTCTTTATTTATAAATTAACAGGCATTATGTCCATATTTTTAATTTGAGATGGAACCAAATTGGTCATTCACTTGGTAATAATATATGTTTATTATCTTGTATCCTACACGAAGTTAGTTAGTCTGCTCAAACTTGTGTTCAGGCAGTCAGTCATCTAAGCATATAACCAAGTGTCTTTTTTAAATGGGACTGAAAAAAAGAGCAGATACTTTTTGAGGATGTACATTTTCACTAGAAAGTTGATCTCTCTTACTCAGTAGAAAATAAAAAGTAAAAATGGATCAGGTTCTCTGTTGATATAGATTCACTATAACTTCATTAAAGTTCATTAAAATAGTTATGGCAACTAAAAATGTACCCTCATAGGTGTTAATTTGTCTGGTAAATACTTATTTCAACTGTTGTATATTCACCAGGTTCAGTGCCGTATTCCTGTTTATTTCACTGTAAGTGGAGAATTCAATCCATTGGATTAAATTATCCAAATCTGAGGCAAAGCAGTAAAATCAAGAGAATTTTACCTCCAAGAATTAAAAATACAGACTTAGCGCTTTTTTTTTTCTTCTCTGGCATATAATACTATAACATAGTGACCTATTCAACCTGGGACAGTGTAGACATTAAAATCCAAAGTGTGGCACAGCTCAGACTTTAAATAATTATCTCGTAATGCAAGACAAATTTGGTTGTTCCTGGTTACTTCTTCTTACAGTGGTTTCTGTACCAGCCCCATGCCTTACAGGGTTCCCTGTACAGCAGAGAAGAATTTCCTGACATCTACGTCTGAAATGGGCAACATTATACAAAATGGGATTGACAGCAGAGTTGGCAAAAGTGAATAACACTATCCAGAAGAAAACTGATGGCAAAATATTTAAATCTTGTTTGTAGTTCTGGACCAAAATTAAAAGAATGATTATTATAATTGGGCTCCACATGATGAAGAAAGAGATCATCAACACAAAGAGGGCTCGGAATAGTTTGTAGTCTTGCTGGGAAACACGAATCTGATGATTTTCTGAGTAGGCTAAGCCAGCATTTAAACTCCTTCTTGATGCTTTTGTAATCTGCAGTAAAAGAGAATAAAGTAACTTTCACTGAAACCTAGAAGAATTATTAACACATTTTTACAAGCGCAAAAGTAAATATTGGCACATGATGCTTCTGTTTTGAAAAGTGACTGCAAAAAGGCATTGCAGAATTCCATTTTTATTTTTTGTCAATGGTTCCATTTCAAACATTCTGACTTTACTAGCAATTCTTTCTTCCTCTCAGCTGTGAACTCACCTCAATATTAGTCAAGCTGGTTGTTCTCCTCATGGTTGTCACAGAGAGATGGCTCTCTAGCAGCCATAAATACTTCTCAGCATAAAACAGAGCCTTAATTACTCATGAAATCCCATTAACTTCAAATTATTACCTCATTTGTTCTATCTAAATAAACCCATCGATTTTTTTCACAAATGCAAACTGGAGCATAGTTAACAATCCTGTTGATGCACAAGAAGGAACACAATCCAATTCTCTTACATCCATGATGGTATTATAAGGTAGGTATTATAAGTGGCATGATTTTATTACCTCAACTAAATAATATTTTAAATGTGAATGGGATTTTATGTTAAGTTTCATGTAAACTTTTTTTTTTTTTTCAGTCAGTAATCAGAAATTATTTCTATGAACTAACCTGAAACCTTACGGATCCTTTTGTCACTATGAAAATCTGTGTCTTGTGAAAGTACTGTCTGATGTAATAAACCAGACTACGGGTGGTTTGGGAATCTAGTATTCATGGCTGTGAATCATCTGTCATTAGGTAGAATATTGAATACCAATGGCTTGTAGAAAACTCTAAAACTCATGCTCTACAACCCTGTCTTCACTGAAGTTGGCATAGCGCAATTAAGTCTGTTACATTCACATATCTAATGCAAATAATACAAAATTTAAATATTTAGCAAACAAACATTTATGCTAAATAACTGAGATGTCATTTTACCCCATGCATGGGTAAAGAGGGGTATTTTCAAAAGCCTGGATCAATTTGGTGTCTAAGTAGGAAAGTCAAAAGGTGTAAGACTCTTCCTGAGGTTTTACTTTTATGCGTGACATTTCCCTTTAGCATTAGCTAAAGGAAAAATAACGCTAATACTAATAATACTTACTAGCTTCCTGGTTCAGGTAAGGATGAAAATGGATATATAGTTATTGAGTAATTTGCCATTCTTTCTGCAGTTTTCTGAATTTGTCGCAGAGAGATGGCCTAGAATAAATATTCATTAAGATCCTAGACATCTACCAAAGATTTCAACAGAATGTAGGTGTATAAATCAAAACCTGTGATCCAAAAATGGGCTTCTCAGCAGCTGCAGAGCCTGAGAAGGGGACAGTCTCACTAGCTGCTTCCCTGACTTAAAAGGGGCAGAAAATCCTGATGTTTTGAGCATGTAAAAACTATTCCAGCCTGATGATCTTCTGCTGTACCCATGTGGAATCCAGAAACTAAGATAAGTCCTCCAAACAGTCCAATCCAAGAGTTGTTCACAGAGACCACCTAACCTGTCTTAGTAAGAACGAAGATTTCACAAAAGACAAAGAACTAATATCCACTTCTAATATAAAAGTGGGAAAACCAAGTTCTGTAGCCTCCTCAGCCTCTACTGTTCAAAATGGCTACAGAATGTCCTCATCAGACACCTCTGTATCTGCCCCATGTAAGTGCCCTTCATCTTTCCTACTGGAGCTGCACAGCCTAGAACTAAGAATGCAAGAATCACCAGGATTGTGGTAAATAAGATGCAGCTGCAGATGGGCTGGCAATGCTATGTTTTGGATTCCTTTTTGGTCTGCCTAGTATAAGAACTGTAGATAACTATCGTGGGCCACACTCTGAGAAGCAGGAACTTAGAAGTCATGTATATACAAGTACGTAACTTCGTGAACATGAACGTCTTTACTAGTTCTAGCCTCTTATCTAAGACTTGCCTGAGACGGTGAACAGTGCAGAAACAAATAACTTAATTACAAATCATGGCTTTTTATCTGTCATTTTTGCCAGGGTTCTGGGAAGTATTATGCAAAAACAATACTCAGATTCAGATTACATTGCAAAGTATACATTTGTAGAGTATATTTGTTAACAAATTTGAGGTCTTATATCTGTAGTGAATCATCATCATCATAGATGCTCTGTTATTTGAAGACTAATGCTTTGAACTGCTTCCAGCAACACCGAGCATTGTACTCTGTGTGCACTGGCATCATGGAGCATTCACACAAAGTGAGAGTGAATCTGCTCTTGTGAATGACTCGGGGATAAAGACATTCTCCAGCTGAGTTCTGGTTGCTTCCTGGAGAGCTGTGTGAGAGAGAAGATTCAATTATAACAGACGGGATCCTGCTACAGGCCTTATTCCTTTTTCAGTTCAGGAGAAATGGTAACACATCTTATCATCTATGTTACCGAGCTGGAAAAGAAACGTGAGCATGGCAGCATGGGGCTGTCTTGTAATCCAGTATTCCAAACACTTTTTTTAGGCTTCTAGCTCCCTATGTGCCATTTTGTTTTCTATATCTAGTTGTTGTAATCTGGAGTCTGCAGGGGCAAGAGGATCACCATTCCTGTCCTGGTCTCTGGCCATGGACTATTGCATTCCTTGGCCTGCAGTTTTCTGCAGTTCTTTTAAAGAGCTCAGACTCCTCACTGAGTTACTTACTGTACGCTCTTTGCCTACAGCAAACATGAGGTTGCAAAAGGCAAAGTGCTTTACTTCACTAGAAGTTTACCTAATGCATTTACCTCAAGGTTATAATGAGCTCATAGAGTGTACAAAAACTGAGAGCTGATGACTTTGACAAGTTTAAACCTGATCAAGAGGTAAGTACAAGTAGAGCCCAGATTCTAGGTCCCAGGTTCATCAAAACATGTATGTGCAGCTCTGGTGCACGTACCCACAGGTGCTCAGCATTTCATCAGTTAATTCCCTGCTCAATAATCTGTGTATTTTGAGGTTCCATTCCAAAACCTGTAATTTTCCTTATATACACCATGAGAAGTTTAATTACCTAATACAGGAATCAAGAATCTTTTGGGGGTAGTTGCTAAAAACTAGGCATTGCAGTGCCTACTTTAAAGATTTCTAGTTCATCCTGTTTTTGGAAGAGGAAGGGGTATGAGATCAGATGTTTTAAAAGGAATTTAGGTAACTAATATCATGCTTGCTAAAATATAGATGAAAACTCTGTGGTGCTTGGTGTCTTGGCCTAGATTTCAACAGTTGAACAACATCCACTCGGAAAGAAAGTGGAAGCAGAGTGTTTAATTTACAGTTTTTGTTTGCAAAGCTTGAAATTGTGAAGGAGTAAATTTAATCTAATGAGATCTGTGTACTAAAAGTACACGCAGAAAATCAGTAGATCTAAAAGGGGATGGATTTTTTCTAGTCCTGCCTCTCTTTACTTTCTTACAAATCCCTTGTGACTCTGGAGTTCAGGCTCAAGTAAAGAAAATCTAGTTTTTAGTGATATTAAATGCTTGACTCTTTTAGCATTTAGCAGATTAACAGCCTTTAAATATGAACAGCGCATAAATGGAGAAGTGTGTTAAATACTGTATATA